AGAATAACAATTGCTATTCTTCTTGACTTAAAGCTTTCGTGACTGCAGGAATTCATATTCTTGGGTCTTTCGGTAAAGTCACGTAGGTAGGCTCAAAGAAAATAACCAAAAATAGAATTGCTATTCTTGTCGATACTGAAAAGCTGGTATCAGGTCAATGTTTTATGTACATACAACTCTAACGGAAGCACAACTGATGATGAAGAGCCAATAGGGGTTTGAGGGGTGGATCCTGGATTAGAGAAACATCGATGATTGACAACCATAGATTGATGAAGGAGCTGCTGACAATTTGATTGGAGTAAACCTTGAAATGTTTCTCAAGAATACATTTTCAGTTGGGAGTACCATTTCTCCTCACATACTTATAATAATGTAGTGATCCTTACAAATATTTGATCCAATACTCGCATCCACACCTTATGAAATGTATTTTCCTCACACAAAGTCTTCAATGCACCTCTGCACATCATGTACTCACATATGCCCATATACTTTATTCCATAACTTGTAAGTGTGATTAAAACAAGGCACACATCTATCATTCACAAATATAAACAATAGCACAAAGTGCCACATTTTGCCACAACGCACCAGAGCAGTCTGCAGCATATAAACACTCCTTCTCTTCTCTTCCAGCTCGAGTTTCATCTTTATTAAAGTACTCGTCACTTCTGCCGATTCTTGCTCAATCTGGGAAAAATATCTTTCTTCACATGCCTGGTGCACACAAACATACCGTACAGGTATTGTTAATGTATTGCTCAATCTTCTACTGCAGATGTACAAAACAAACTAAAACACAGTTCAAAAAGCATAACCGTGATGCTACAAACCAAGCAATTTCTTAAATTACCAAATGCAGCGGTGAGAAAAAAAAGTCAAATCAAAGTGATTACCCACTCAACGAATTCAAGGATGCACTCACCTTCTGTTCCATGGTGGAGATAACAATAACACAATACAATGGCATGTATCCAGGAAACACTGGGCTAGGGATGGACATCTTCTGGTCTTTTTGGTTATCCGTTTTTGCATTCTATGATTATCCCGGAGGGCAACCTTTGCAATCACGTGTGCAAGTTTTTTTTTTGCAGCCGTTTGTAACCCGAGTGGGATTTCATTAAAACAAGCGTACAATATATAACATTGGAATATGCTTCCACGAAGTGCTTACGTAAAAACTGTAATGCGGAGAAACAGACTTGCCTCTGCTGGAAGTGGTGATACTAAAGTCGTGGTGATATCTTGCGCATTCTTCTCCATCTGCTCCAATGTCTCCATGAGATTGGTTAATGCGGCATTGGAGGGCACGGCTGTCTCAGTAGGGCTGCCCATGGCCGATTCCCCCTGCACACCAGACAGTTAAACAATGTAGTTACCAAACCGTGTTTAGCTGTAGTAATAATTATAAACCAAAAATGTTGATTTCCATTTTTTCCTGTTATATGTGAATCAAAAAAATGTACGTAAGTGATAGACACAAAATATATAAGATGAAGCAGTAATACTTTATTGGGTAAAGATGTATGATGGAGTATACTTCAAAGCCACATTCGACGTGGTTAATTGGCCATCAGCAACTTCACCCAAGTTGAGAACCGCAGTGTGCTGGGTAGACCGAGTCCTTCACATGAGTTGAGGTATCATCAAGTAAAGTTAATGGGGAAAGCAGCGATAGAAGAGTGATACGGAGGTAACAGACCGCCGGTAAGCGAGTGACGGTCGTGAACCAGTGAGTTTAGGATATTTATACAGGTAGGAACAACAGGTTCCACACTGCCCACCATGGATTATTGTCTGCCTGTCGTGCATATTTGTCTGTCGTGCACGAATGCGCTGTCCAACCAAGTTCCTACCTGCCCACTTCGAAGGAAACGTGATCAATTAATCTGACTTCTTTGAGTTGAACTATATTGGTTAGAGTGAGGTATGAACTGAGTGCTCCACCCCAGATATGACAACAGTATTCCAGCTGCAGCCAAATGTGCAATTTGTGAAGTAGTACAGCAATCACAACAATCCTTTGGAGTTCGCAAGTCATTAAAATCTCAGAAATAGCGAGTAGGGAGTTAGCCTAACGGCTTGTCGATAAACCACTGGTCAAATCGCAGTAGGGGCAGTAGGGGCAACATGGCTCTGACCTTAGTCAATCCACGCGTACTTGTCGGGCTTAGGCGATGTATCAGGTTCGTCTTCCAGCAACTTCAGGGTCTCCAGAAGATCCCCAAGCGTGGACGCGCGGGCACGTGGGTTCACATCAGGTGACGCCTCTTCGCCCAAACCTTGTTTTGCGCAGACCAACCTCGAGGTGTCGCCGTTTTTAGACGTTCTTTCAGAACTGTCACCTATTTTTGGGGGCGCGAGAGAGAAGAAAAGACAAAACCATTGAAGTAATTTATATTGGAAAGCAGTACGGTCATAGATCACCTCCGATTAGCAACGGTTGGCTGCGTACGGTGCGAAAGTTCAACGTACATATCGGCGTCCACTTGTGTGCGTTAAATACACGACACCGCAATATTGGGGGGAATGTTTCATAACTGTTATTGTACGTATGTTGAACTTTTCGTAGCCAACCGTGCTAATCGGAAGCGCGTTATTACATATCCTGTCAACCCATACGGTTTAGCCATATTCTTGTACAGAGTAATTGAGTTTTCAGGTCCATACGGCATACAGCCGTTTCAATACGGGCAAAAAAATGTTGTCTATTTGTTTGTGTTTCTCCCTCGTGATGGGACTTTGTAGGATGAACGCTGAGATTTATAAGGGACATGGGGTGACCAATAAGGTCTGAATTGGTCTGTAATAATGTAGGGCACTGATAAGGGGTTGACAGGTATGTTGAGGGGCCGTCCATAAATGACGTCACGCACCTGGGGGGGGGGGGTGGGGTCAGACATTTGTGACGATGTGTGACGAGGGGGGGAGGAGGGGGTTTGAGAAATGTCACATCAAAATGCGCAACTTTAAATAAATATAGAATTGTTATAACACTAATTTTTATTAATTTTAATTATTAACTATTTGATTATTTAAATGTACTAAGGTCACCTTTGATTTATTCCATGAAGGAGCATTTTGCTTCTCCATGGGAGAATGGAGAAGCATACATTTTGAAAAAAAATGTAATGATTGTTATTAAACATTTTGATTCTAATTATTCTACCAGGGCTTTTCATTCTGTGGAATGAATATATGATTGTTATAATTGTACTCGGCATTTTGCTTCGTTCTACGACAGTTTCAAGTATTTTTCTATAGTTATAATTACTCTTAATATTTTATAATAATAAGATAATTTCAATATATTCTGAACATCTGCAGTTAGACGTTGAATATTTTCAAGTGAATTTTATGCTAAATTTAAGCTTTCCAACGCCTCCTTTTTCATGCGTTTTCTCCTACAACATCAGAGTGCAGCGCCACATTAAATACGCACTACAATGACAATAGTACTGGTAGGAACCTCCTGGTTACACCAGCCCACAGGGGAATGTGTCCGTCCATCGTGCAGAGAGGGGCTGGGTGGGGAGGGAGGGGCTGGGTAGGGAGGGGAGAGTGGGGAGGGGCTGGGTGGGGAAAGTGGGGCTGGTTGGGGAGGGTGGGGAGGGGCTGGGTGGGGAGGGTAGGGAGGGGCTGGGTGGGGACCGAGCAACCCAACGTTCCTACCAGCTCCTTCCGCAGGAATGTGTTTTAAAGCGATTTGAAGCATGTTTTTTTTTTGGGGGGGGGGGGCAGAGCTTTGTGACGTCATATTTGAGGGGGGGGGGTCTGAATTTTTGTGACGCCGATGGGGGGGGGGGGTCAAAAATCGTCCAAAATCGCGTGACGTCATTTAAGATTCGTTGCGTAACGTCAACACCTGCATTTCTTGGGGTCTTGGAACTCTTCGCCGTGACAGGATTCAGAGGCGACGTTCTCCGTTTGGTGTCAATTCTCTCGTCTGCGCTTCGTAAATCTTGCGCAGAGACTCGCTCAGTCCTTCTTCTTTGCATTTCCTGAAATTGTTCTAACATGTTAATCGCTGCGTTCGTGTATGGGTATTGAGATTCGTGAAGTCGTTATTTATCTTTTGATTTTAAACTTTCGTGACTGCAGGGATTCATATTATTGGTTCTTTCGGTAAAGTCACGTAGAAGGGAAATAATACAATAATATAAAACAATAAAAACTCTGATGATGATTGCTTGTGTTGCAGTCGAAACGTCGTGAGAATTTTTTGTTGTTTTATATTTATATCGTTATTTATCATTAAAGTGAAAGCAATAGCACATTAAAGCGTCACTCCCTTGACGCCTCAATAGGTACGGCGTGATATACGTACACACGTGTCGTTGCGTGTTTGCTATGTCATCATATTACATCCTGGACAACCTTTTAAAGCGAGAAATTCCATCTCAAAGGGGGATATTCTTGGTAGAAATATCTTAATAAATTTAATTAAATAAAAAGTATCGGCCACGGTCGAACCGACCGCAATACTTGAGCGATTAAGTACAGGCTAGCCCTGATGTCTTGTGACCCCCCATTTAATTCTCTAAAACACTATATTTTAAAAGTAAGGATTATGTAAAATGTTTTTAATGTGTTATGGGTCAATTCATTAAGGGGTCACAAGACATCCGGACCACACTGTACAACAGCCGCCCAGTAATAAAATCGTGGCTTTACCGTAAGCCGAATAAAAAGGCAAACATACTTACTGCGCGACCACTTAGTTGTGTGTGCACGCGTTAAATGCACAGCAAAGAGAGCGATGAGACGAATTTATCGCGAATTGTTCAGCGAACAGAACGACGGCAGCGCCACGCGATCGACTCGGGGCCTCCTCCTCGCCTAGGGCCGCCTCCTCGACCAGGCCGCGTTGCCATGGCGACCAGGCCACGTTGCCGTGGCGACCCGCGACCAGGCCGCGTTGCCATGGCGACCAGGCCACGTTGCCGTGGCGACCCGCGACCAGGCCGCGTTGCCATGGCGACCCGCGACGCCTCGCCGTCGGCCATTGCGAGTCACGTGGCGCGTTGCCGTGGGAACGGGAACGGACGCTGCACGCAAAGTACATGGAGTCAGCTGTTACACAGCGCAGAGTACACGGGTTAGCTGGTACACAGCGCACAGAGTACACGTGTTAGCTGGTGCACAGTACACAGAGTACACGTGTTAGCTGGTACACAGCGCACAGAGTACACGTGTTAGCTGGTACACAGCACACAGAGTACACGGGTTAGCTGGTACACAGTACACAGAGTACACGGGTTAGCTGGTGCACAGCACACAGAGTACACGGGTTAGCTGGTACACAGCACACAGAGTACACGGGTTAGCTGGTACACAGTACACATAGTACACGTGTTAGCTGGTATACAGTACACAGAGTACACATGTTAGCTGGTATACAGTACACAGAGTACACGGGTTAGCTGGTACACAGCACACAGAGTACACGGGTTAGCTGGTACACAGTACACAGAGTACACGGGTTAGCTGGTACACAGCACACAGAGTACACGGGTTAGCTGGTACACAGTACACATAGTACACGTGTTAGCTGGTATACAGTACACAGAGTACACGGGTTTGCTGGTACACAGTACACATAGTACACGTGTTAGCTGGTACACAGCACACAGAGTACACGGGTTAGCTGGTACACAGTACACAGAGTACACGGGTTAGCTGGTACACAGCACACAGAGTACACGGGTTAGCTGGTACACAGTACACAGAGTACACGGGTTAGCTGGTACACAGTACACAGAGTACACGGGTTAGCTGGTACACAGTGCACAGAGTACACGTGTTAGCTGGTACACAGCACACAGAGTACATGGGTTAGCTGGTACACAACAGAGTACACGTGTTAGCTGGTACACAGTACACAGAGTACACGGGTTAGCTGGTACACAACACACAGAGTACACGTGTTAGCTGGTACACAGTACACAGAGTACACGGGTTAGCTGGTACACAACACACAGAGTACACGTGTTAGCTGGTACACAGTACACAGAGTACACGGGTTAGCTGGTACACAACACACAGAGTACACGTGTTAGCTGGTACACAGTACACAGAGTACACGGGTTAGCTGGTACACAACACACAGAGTACACGTGTTAGCTGGTGCACAGTACACAGAGTACACGGGTTAGCTGGTGCATACTGCATAGTACACAGAGTACACGGGTTAGCTGGTGCACAGCACACAGAGTACACGGATCAGCTGCTACACAGTACACAGAGTACACGGGTTAGCTGGTGCACAGCACACAGACTATATATCTATATAAAGTATACACTGGGAAAGCAACAGTGAGTATGCACATTGCAGGATATGCACACGCACAGACGCCTGAACATAATGTCGTGAATCTACGGGACCCCTTTTGGCAATATCAAAAGTGTATATATAAAAAAAACTAGAATAAGCCTTACCCTTTGTGGCAATTAAACAAGAGGTGTTTGAGATGTTCAAACACCAAATATGTATACCTATTGCAGGGCATTATTTCGCCATTAACCACACACAATTCTGGCAAAACGTGCAAATAAGCACATGCTCTGATAATAATGTTACATACCGTGTCAACCCATACCCCCCGTATTCTTGTACAGGGAAATTGAGTTTTCAGGTCCATACGGCGGACAGCTGTTTCAAGACGGGCAAAACCTATTTGTCTGTGTTTCTCCCTTGTGATGGGACTTTGTAGGATGAACGTTGAGATGTATAAGGGCACGGGTTGACCAATAAGGTCTGAATTGGTCTGTAATGAGGTAGGGTAAGCGGTTGACAGGTATGTAGAGTATAGTATAGTGTACGCGTTGTCTTCAACACCGATTGTCCTACACCAGATCAAACAGCCTTCTTTTCGCACCAAGCCTCGTCTTGTGTCACTTTGTCGTTTTCAGGAGCTGAGGCAGCAAGTCTCAACTCGGCATTGGCGACGCGACGATGCCGTCCCTGGACGAGGACGACCACCGGCAAGACGAGGAGCAGGATGGAGACGTTGAGCAACAACAACAACAACAACAGCAGCAGCAGCAGGAGCATCAACAACAACATCAGCATGAGGAAGAGCAGGGCTTGGCGAGTGATGGGGATGCGGGCCAGCTGCAAGTGCCCAGCAAAGACATGAGGCCACTCATAGCGCTCATCATTGAGAGGCAAGCAGCAGAAGCAGCAGCTCACGTCAACCCGAGCGGGCAGAACAAAGCGAGGGTGGTCCAGATGAGCATTGAGACCTCCTTTGCCAGTGGCAAGATATAGTAATGTGTTTTTACCCTTTTATCTGGCAACAACACTGATACCTTTTTACAAGGGATCATGTTTGCATTTTGACCACAACACTTGTGGTCAAAATGCAAACAAAAAAGACAACTCTGATCATGTATGCACTGTCCTTGAAATTGATTGGTCCACACCCGAGACAGCTTTTCTTAGAGCCCAGTCTCACGTGGAGTTGAGCGCATTTTGGCGTCATCTATCACTATGGTCCAGATGAGTTTTAGAGAATAGGAGTCACAAGGCATCAGGTCCACCCTGTACAATATACATCGGATTATATATCGTTATACATTGTCATACATTTATACGTATGTAATGCGGATCAATGAATTGCTTATCTCCGAGCGTCATCATCTCTGCATTTTTTTTATAGATTCGAAGTGACAGATGAGAGTGAAGATCAAGTGATCGTCTCTTACCAAGGTGGTAATGTCTATAGCGTAAGTACAAAACAACGGAATAAATAGATGATTCAATCGCTGGATAACTAATCATAAATATCGATTCGAAAAATATATATAACTTTTAAAATATGCAATTTATGCAAAACAAAGTATTATCAATAAAAGTGTATTTTATTTAAATAATTGCACACTTTATAGCGTATTACCGACGATGCAAATAAATAGCATTTTATTCTAATGAATCATAGTTAAAATGATTAAACTGCACCTGAATAAATCTTGCACGCTTAGAACAAATGTATGATGATTATTGTTTGTGATATAATGGACCTCATGGCTTGACATATGTGTTACAGGGTTCTTTCTGCAACAACATGATGCATGGGAAGGGAAAGTACGTGTGGGCAGATGGTGTGGAGTTTGAGGTACTATATTTAAATACAGATTGCTTATTCATACATTATATACACACAAAGCATACAGCACTTAATTAGTGACAAATAACGAAGGTACATATTGGTATACCATATTGTTTACTTAGATTTGAGGTTTTCACTGCCTTGATTACAATTTTATTTTCAATTTTGTTCGGGTTTGACTGCATGTGTCACCAGTTGTTGCTTAAGCCCTTCTACCCGGCCTCCATAGACCAGAGGCAAACGGTGCATTATGAGTGGGCTGGTAACGAGATGATGAATGTTACCAGTGAGTAAAGATGTAATGCTCACAAACTGTGACACTCCACTTGATCTAGACCAGGGGTGTGCAACCAAAACATCAAGAAGAGGCATTTTTTTAGAATTCCGTAAAAAAAAACCCCAATAGTTCAAAATCTGCTGTGCATGTCAAAACGCGATGGTGATCCTTAATAAATAACCTCACGAAACATTCCTTAAAGAGCCGCAGCATGCTGCTGCAGAGGCACAGATTGCCGACCCCTGCCCATGGTAAACTGGACTCCCGTGGTAAACTGAATTTCTATGGTAAACTGGACTTCCATGGTGAGCTGGAATTCCATGGTGAACTGGACTCCCATTGTAAACTGAACTTCCATGGTGAACTGGACTCCCATTGTAAGCTGGACTTCCATGGTGAACTGGACTTCCATGGTGAACTGGACTTCCATGGTGAGCTGGACTTCCATGGTGAACTGGACTCCCATTGTAAACTGGACTTCCATGGTGAACTGGACTCCCATTGTAAGCTGGACTTCCATGGTGAACTGGACTTCCATGGTAAACTGGACTTCTATGGTCAGGGGTCGGCAACCAAAACAACAAGAAAAGGCTTTTTTTTATTTCAAGAGCCACACTGCAGTCCTTAAAGAGCCACCGCAGACACGAAAGTTTTAAGTCAAAATTTAGACAAAGTGGGTTGTGTAGCAGAAGCAGCAGCAGCAACAGCTGCAGATGATACAATTGCATTCACCAATAAAAAACACACAGTTTATGGATATTAACATCTCACCATTGTGACTCATAAACAGGGTGACTTTTGGCTGAATGCAATGGTGGGAAATGGCACCTACCAATGGCCAGATGGAAGCAAGTACACTGGCAACGTGGAGAATGGGGTGAGGCATGGGCAGGGTACCCTGACCGTGTCAAAGCCCTTTGTTTCATACAGTGGACAATGGTATGCCAGCGAGAGACATGGCAAGGTAAGGCTATCATTGTGTTTTTTTTGGTTTACTTTGAAAGTTGTTGATGAAAAGTCTAGACCGAATGTGAACCCAGTTATACCATCAAAAACGCAGATCCGTGAATGGTCGATGGTTGAAGGTGGTGTTTTTACTGGCTTAGTGGAGTTATCTTTGAAATATCAAGGTGATACGGTTGATGTCGTCTCAGCCAATAGCAAGCAGAGCACCAAGAATATATATTCTGGCTGCTGCGGATTTTATTGGAGCAACCAGTTTAATTTATGAATGCAGAAGTGCGTTGAAGCTCATCATCATTGACAGATAATGGGGTGGTTAGCTTGTTATGGAATGGATATAGCACACGATAAATAGCACAGACGAGGCCAATCTCTGAGTTACACCAAACATTAATGGACATTTGACCACATTTACTGACTCTGTGGCATGTACAGTTTGCAACATTACAAATACATGAGTTGGAAATAGATGTTTTTTTAAATTACTCTAGCAAAATATGTGGTTGAATCTGCATTTGTTATTGCAATGAAAAAAATGCTACGTTTGTCAGTATAAGCACCATGTGTTAAGTACTCGAGAGCATTGCTGGTATTTAAAAGTTATATATCATTTTACTCCACAGGGAATTTTGTATTATGATGAGAAAAAGGAGTCTTGGTATTGCGGAGAATGGCATCACAACATGCGACATGGATGGGGAATTAGAAGGTAACGACAGTTGAATGCACCCTTTCCATTATTTGTCATCAAGATGAGCACTCTTACAAAACATTTGAATATAACTTCGGATTTGTTGAACGCTCGTAAATTAAGCGTAGAACGAAGGACACTATAAATGAAAACAAACATAATGTAGCATCTGCTTTAAGCAGTTCACATTTTTCAGAATACTGCCACATACGATTTTTATCAACTTTACAAATTATTTAATTTAGTCTTGTGAAAAGAATAACATTCTAATGGGTGTAATCTTTTGGGGGGAAATGCACAATTCATTAATATTGTAAATGTTGTGGATTTGCTATCCAACGAATCGGCATGTTCTGTTTATGCGACAAACTTTACTAATTGGCTGTGTTGGGTGGTGGCGGGTTTAACGACACATTTATATTTACGCGATGCAACCCAAAAAAAACATTATTAACTCATTCATAATCAATTAATCTTCTCTGCTGCTCAAAATAGCAACTCGTAATGATGGAAAGCGACACAGTGAGAAAAAGATTACACGGTGAGGACGATTTTTTAATTGATAATTGTCCTGTCTTCTCATCCTGCAGGTATTCTTCAGGAAACATATACGAAGGGCAGTGGCTGAACAATGAACGGCATGGGGAGGGTTGTATGAGGTGGGTCACATCGATGCAAGAGTACAATGGCCAATGGAAGCACGGAAAGCCGGTACCGTTGTTCACTCTTTCAGCTTGCGTGCAAATATGTGTTCACAAAACTGTAAAAGGGCATTTATGAAATGTCTAATTTTATGTGGTATGAAGAAGACCCATCGCACAAAATGTGACCAGTTTCACATTCACGAATGCGTTGAGTTTTATTTTACTCTGTAACGAGTTCAGCATGTAATACAAAATCGTAGCCATACACTTGAGCAAGTCCGTGTGTGTGTGTGATCTCTTCTATGGTAAGTTACAATGAATAAGGGTTAAAGTTATGTATTGGGGGTACCGCGGTGGTGAGATGTTAACTACCTTGCCTGGTATACAGGAGGTCGTGGGTTCGACCCCAACTCTGATGTCAGCTGTATGTTTGGAGTTTGCATGTCTCTCTCCCCGTGATCGCATGGATTTTTCTCTGCTCTGGTTTTTCCCCCCACATATAGAATCAACCTGAGTTTAGAGTATTTGGCTGTTATAAATGTCCACATATTGATAAGCCACTTCGTTGAACTATCATTTGCGGCAAGGCCGCTTCTGGAAAAAAGCTACATAGCTCAATGGGCCTTACCTGTTAAAATAAAACATAGTTGAGGTTTTAGTTTTAATAGTTTCTAGTTTAGGTTTTGTAAATTTTAAAACAGCTTAAGGTTGGTCTTGCCACGAGGATTGGGTTTTTGCTGGGCTGCCTGCAGACTTACCGTGCTGTGTCTACGTGATAACATTGGTGGTTTCCTTGTGACACAAAAAGTGTTAATTGCTCCTTACACTTTTTTATTTACAAAATACACACGCTGTAGAAGAAAAACAAGACTTTCTAATAACAAAAAGCATTTTATTACATGTTTAATGCATTGTAAAAAATCACTCATTTGATCTCACCAAAGTGTACTGTGGATATGATCACATGAATATGTTCATTTGTTGAGTAGATTTTATATCATCTATTTTGTAGGCCTTTTTTTGGCCCTATACTGCAAGTTAAAGATTGCAGGCCAGATGATGCACATTAAAATCAGATTGTTCTCTCAGGCCAAGGTAATTTGACGGTAGCATTTCAACAGTTTAAGTCTCGGGGAAAATCTGGTGTTGGACCCTTGTTTAACATTCATCATTGATGTTTGGTTTAGGTCACGTTATAAACAACACATTTGTTTTGAAACCCTCCACGACCCGACAGAGCCTAACAAATTAAATGGTCGTGTTTAACACGCCAATTATTATTGTTTTAGCTAACCGGTAAGTGTAAGAACGATTCTCACAACCAAATGTATCGATTCGCTATGTTTCATTTTAAATCGCATCAAGCATCTTCAGGTCAGAACCCAGGGAGAAAAATCTGGCCACATCAGGACATGGTTAAACCCAAAATTAATTTCGCAAAATCATATGTGCTGCAAAAATGCATTCATTCATTCATCACGCATAGTCAGCGAAGGACCGTTGCCACCAATCGTGTGACCTCTTGTGACACACACCGGTGTCTCGAGTGGTTTGTTTGATCCACGGATCATGCGGGCGACCATGGGGACGGTGCTATTCCAAAATCGTTGTGTGTTAAATTCATCATCATCTTTCCATTTAAAGCTTTCGTGACTGCAGGGATTTATTATGTTTTATTTTTATTATTTTATTATTTCCCTTCTACGTGACTTTACCGAAAGAACCAAGAAGATGAAACGTGTTCATGTCTATGCTCTCTTGTGTTATTCATGCTCTGTGCTGCCAGTCACCTTGCATTACTATAGGCCTTTGGGTCTGTGGCCAGCAGCTGCGATGTGAACAAACCCGAACGTAAAGTGTGCACGTGCGTGTCTTGTGCAGGACGGCAGGGGGACACACAAGTGGCTGGTGAAGCGTGTTGGGTGCTCCCAGTATCCGATGTGCAACGAGTACGATGGCGAGTGGGCAGCCGGGCACCGTCACGGGCAGGGAGAGTTTCTGTACGCGAGTGGGGCACGGTACAAGGGGGAGTGGAGTCAGGATCGCAAGCATGGCTCGGTGATCATCGAAAAACAACCACACTCAATGCATCTTCAAGAACACATACGCACTTAGTTTCGTGGATATGAATTATGCCGTGGAGGAATAACGTCAATGTTTTCGTCTCATTTACAGGGAACGTTTACGTCCAAGAGCGGTCAAATCTACGAAGGATCTTTTGTGGAGGACGTAATGGTAGGATGTTCTCAAAACACTGTGGGTGAGAATGGACTTTCAAGAGCAGATGCATCTCTTCCAAGTAAGGAGTCTCAATGTTTATTCCAGATCCCACAGGCCAGGTCCTGACACCATCATATTCGATCAGGATGTACCAATGTGCCTGCCACCCCGCCTATGTCATTGTATTTTAATTACATTGCCTAACATGAAATAGGTATTACATTTTGATGAGCACTGCCTCAATGCTAATTTGAGAATGGAATCACTCTGCCTTAGGACTCCTGCTTTACAAAATTGTGGCTGTGTCGTTTTTTAAAGTAACATTGATTGTGACAGCCATGTTAATGTTTTATACATAGAAAAACTTACCTACTAATAGTAGAGGTTTTTGTGGGTTAAATCGTGTAAATATAAATGTGTCGTTAAACCCGGCACCACCCGACACAGCCAATTAGTAAGGTTTGTCACGTAAACAGAACATGCCAATTCGTTACTAATACAGCACACCGGTGTGTTGGAGAGTAAATCCACATTTACCAATTGAGTACGACGTTTCGCCAGTAATTACAGCCAGCATCATCAGGCGACGGCCAGATTAGTGGAGAAATCCTCCTTAAATAGAAGGGGTGGATGTGATGGTGTCACTTATGAGCCCCTCACGTCAGAAGTCAGCACTCACTCATAAATGCATATACATGACAATGGGTATCCATTACTGATTGGGTTAATCACATGGTAATTAACGTACACTATGCATGCACATTGGTCGCGAAAGCCTACGTGTTAAACCGACTTACCGACTCGTTCACCTGATATTTTGATGAATCAACTGATTGTTCCGTGCGCTTTATATGTATTGACAAAAAGGCACGTGCAGAAAACTATTGTATAATACTGTACCTGAATTGGTTTTAGATCTTTGTTTATAGTTGTGGAAAATGTAATTAATTAAATGTAAAACAGAGACGTTGATTGCTCATCCAGCACTCACTGATTCACTCCAATCACTTGAAGAAAATTTTATCTCTGATCTCTTACGTATTTACGTATGATGAACTTCTTTCGCACCGTACTTAGCCAACCGTGCTAATCGGAGCGTGCGATTACAACTGTGATAGTGCCGTTTGTTGCTGACCGCCTGACAGTGTTGGCCTTTTGGGTCTGTGCTCAGCAACTGTGATAAAACATATATTAACGAGAATGTGTTTTGTTTACAGCAAAACCTCACTTGGAGGATAAAGAGAGCACTGCGGAGGGAGGGGCAATGCTACAGAGTTCACACGTGGATCTGGATTTGGCACGGCTATTGCAAAAGTTTCCAGCTGACAAGAGGGAAGCCGAGTACACACAGGTACTGGTAACAACTGATTATAGTATTGTCATGTATCCTTTATACCAGTTGAGAGCCCATCGAGATCAAGTCTTTAACGTGTAAATTGCGGCGGTGGCGTAGCCCAGAGAAAGTGCATTCATTGCAGAGGTTTGCGGTTTTTGTGTTTCAGAATTGCTTTTCGTGTTTACAGACTTAGTGCTGCTTGGAAGCATACCTATACTTCAATAGAGATTACCTTTGCTACGGCTATTTTAGTACGAACAATCGACAGGAAGTACAAGAATGGGCTTGCATAATGCGTATGCTAATGTACGTTGATTAATTAACCCCCACCACCCCGACTTCGCGCAAGAAGAGCGCACGAGTGTTGTCACCACATCTACGCCTCTATTTAAGGAATGAAACAGGTGCGCTTCTCCACAAATCTGGCTGTCGCCTGATGAAGCGGGTTGTAATTACTGGCGAAACGTCGTACTCAGATTGTAAATGTTGTGGCTTGGCTCTACAACACACCGGTGTGCTGTGCTAGTGACGTATTGGCCACGTTCTGTTTACGTGACAACCCTCACTAATTGTCTGTGTCGGGTGGTGGCGGGCTAACGACACATTTACATATTTACGCGATCTAACACAAAAAAAGTCTATTATGGATATTGGTCGCAAAAGCCTCGCGACCAATATTAGATTCGAAGCTTTGTTTGTGTTCCCCATTGTTGTCGTCTCCAGGTGCAGTTGGTGGTGCTGCAGCACATGGCAGCACTGCGCAGAACGTACAGCAAATACAGCGGGCTGGGTGTAACGCACTCCCCAGACAACACGTTCATCCTCAGTCGGATGCAGTGGTGGCGTCTCCTCAAGGACTGTCGGGTGCATGTCGAGGGCCCTTCCTTGGCACAGGTCGATCCGTCTGCTTTCCAGTAAGGCACTCACGGACATTGCGATGCCAACACAAAAACACTGGGAGTTGCAATGAGAGACGGACACGGGACACATGCTCGTTTCACAGAGAGGGTGCACTTGGTCGGCTCGTTAGCACGTGTCAGCAAGGGGATCCATATCAGCTACAGGATGAATTCACTGGGTGAGTGAAATCAAATTATGCAGAAGTTAAATTTAGATATAAAGCTTTCGTGACTGCAGGGATTCATCTTCTTGGTTCTTTCGGTAAAGTCACGTAGAATGGAAATAATAAAATAATAAAAAATAATATAACATAACATAACAAAATTATTCTCACGACGTTTCGGCCACAACGCAAACAGGACGGCTGCTTGCGTTGTGGCCAAAACGTCGTGAGAATTATTTCGTTGTTTTATTTTTTCTTATTTTATTATTTCCATTCTACGTGACTTTACCGAAAGAACCAAGAATATGCAGAAGTTGCAAAGGTGATACTAGTTGAATGACCTGGAGGATGAATGGGAAGCTACACACAGACATGTACGTGATTGTGAAGTTTACAAGTAGGCCCAAAGGATATTTGTGAGACGCATACAAATATGGCATGCTGACATTATTATGATGGAATATAAACCTGCTGCATAATGCGTGCTACGTCTTGTTTGTATCCCATAGCTTTTGAAGAACCCCTAGATCAGATCCACTACCCTAATAAACGACTGCTCATGAGGCAATTCTTGAGCAACTTGACCGCCCTGGGATACCACATGTATCACACAGACTACGCGTAAGTCTCCCGATTGCAACATTTTGTCATTTTATGTATCCACAAAAGCCTTGGATTGTGATGTTGGGCAGATTCCTTGTTTAGAACATTTTTCTATTTAATATCTACATCACAATGTCATCATACGGTAGTCTATGTAATCCACCGATACCTATATATATAGTACACACGTTTTATATGATACACAGTTTTAAGCCTAACCCATATCCAGGTTTAATTCCTCACTGAATATTTTTGGTCCAGCTTAGTCATGTGACCAGTAGCGGCTGCCAGAGAGAGATGTACTGCATGTGGTGGGGTGCTCGGTATTAAATATTTTCCGGGTCACAGACCCAGATAGATCCGGCTAAAATTTTACTTCCAGTTTTCCAATGTAATGCTTTATGTTTCGTGCTGTTTTGTGCAGGGGCAAAAGTGGTGAACTGGCCTGGTGTTTGTCACAGCTCATGAATAATGCCATCCTCCTGCACGCATGCACCATCAGGGGTAAACTACCCATTCCACTCCAGTTCCCTTTGCTATTGTGAAGTATATTCTGCTTTCACACAACATTATTGTAACGTTAAGCAAAACATTATTTTATGATAAATTCCACAATGAATAGAGCTTTTCACTTTGGAGAAGCTTCATCTTTTGAAAAGCAAATTAGCTCTTGAAAAACTTTGCCATGTTCTTTAATCACATTAGGTTTATACAGCGTGTCAGATTGTATTAACCCTTTCCCATTCCGAGACCTCTGTAAGTTGCAGGGTGGGTGTCCCGTTCACCGCCGAATCTTGGAACGGCAAGTGGCTCAGCGTTAATTTTATTTAGAGAGGCATAGCGCTGTTGCTTTTAAAGACGTTACTCACCGCAGCGAACTGGAGAAACACGACCGCACTCTACAATAGCTGGCGCCAAACTGTGCCACGCCCTCCCACATGACCTTGTGGGAGCGCCAGTACCGATAGTTATTTATTTAGTTTTTAAAGAAAAACTGATGACGTACACATGTCATCCGAATGGGAAAGGGTTACGTGTCACTGTTGCGTACAGGATCGGTGTTTGGAGAGGCTTGGCGTGCCCAGACTGCTCTAGAGTACGCATCGAAGAGCTGGGATATCTACAGCAGCCTTTGCAAAACCAACTTATATTCCCCGCACGAACCAATTCTCACTGCACGGAACTTCTTGTGGATGCTGCAGGTAAATACGCAGCAAACATGCGCTGTCCTGAGGGTGTGGAGGTATGGCTCTTTATGTCTGTGCTAATAGATGCATAAAGTTTAGGTGTCTAAGGGTATACAGTCCTTTACATTATGGATATCTTTGCAACAAATTTAGAATATATATTTATACGAAGCTTCATTCATGTTTCCAAATCAATATATCGGTCACAACACTTGAGTAATTGTCATTGCACAGAAGTTAACAGCTCATTCTGACTGCAAGGAACCAGGAATTAGCTCTGTACACCCGATATGACCTTCAACCTTGGTGAAAAGAATAAAACGAGAATTTCACTACTGTAATTGTATTGGGTTTAAGAAGCATCTGAACTATCTTGCCATTCCTCTTTGTTTTAGATTTTCGGAGTTTGTTAACATTTTTGTAGAAAATGAAATCTTAGCACACCATTGGAGTGGTCTGGTGGGGATCTAAGCTCTGAAAATGCACTAGGATCTTGATTTGAAGCTTTCGTGACTGCAGGAATACATGTTCTTTGATTCTTTCAGTAAAGTCACGCAGCAGACCATGCTTTCCCACCTGATGACGGACGCTTGTGTTGCGCCCGAAACGTCGTGATTTATTTTCATTTTATTTTATACCTTCGTGACTTTACCGATAGAAACAAAGAGTATTCACTAGGATGTTCAAGTCCACGATCGAGCTATTATAGATGCTTCATATTACACGAATACAAATTACATTTATAGCAAAACACTGCAAAAAAATGCAGTATATATAATCAGAGCAATTCTACCAATCTATTTTTGTTTATGGATTGTTAATATAACCCTCACAATATTTAATTGTATACCATCAGCTGTGGGCCCACCAGGTATGTAGTTCACTGCCCCCTCTTGAGTACGGACACACTTTGACTAAACTTCAGTCTTTTATTGTTACGGCATCATATTTATTTTCCGTGTGGTGCAACACAAAAGCATTGTGATGATTTACAAGTTAACGTTATTTATTCAATTTAGACCTTTATTTATTTTTTGTGTGTGTTTATATATATACAATGTTCATGAACAGTTGTATGTATTTTCCACATATATCCCTATTCTGTGTGGAAATGTATGTTTAACAAGGAATTTAAGCTCATCTCCAAGTCACTCTCAGCAGAAAAAGTCGTGGAGATTTTGAGTCTGGACAATCCGGCAATATCAGATGGGGCGTCCTGCAATCTTCAATACGAGGTATGTCAATTGTGGCCACTTCCATCACACGCTGGCTTTCATATACATGTAGAGCCGACACGAGGTTGGGGGGGGGGGGGTCCGTCCTTTATTTCCCCCCAGTCCACACTTGCCCACAGCCCCCTCTCAATCCGTTCCCCGCCAGAATGCCCCGAGCCCCCCTCCTGTATCTCGCCTGCTCCTCCCTCCTTCCACTGTTCCTGCTCCACTGCCCCCCCCCTCCTTTTGGTAGGAATCCTCTCCATGCCTCTTAACCCACTGTCCATCTTCATTCCTACCCATGACAACAACCGCCATTCGCCACTAAGTGGCGGTGACGGCACCACGACGCTTGTGCCAGGCTATGTGCACTTTGAGGCCACGTGAAGTGTTGAACGCCCGCTGGCAGGAGGTCACGGGGCAGACCCAGATGCCACACGTCGACTGAGATGAATGGCTGACCCCTGACATCCCTTACATACACAAACATTTTAAAACGAAATTATTAAGTGACGTTTTTCGTGGTTAATCCGTGAATATAAATACATTTTATTCTTATGGTATATATTTTCAAACTTAATCTGTTAAATGTGTTAATTGTCACCTGGAGAATCCCTTTAGATGCAACATCTCATTTGCAACGGTGCCCAAGGGTGTCAAGTGATTCATATGTAGCATGAGCCACCCTGCCCACACCCAGAGGGTAACACTATTTCCACAGTTGTATGTTGAACTTCTTTCTTGCCGTACGTAGCCAGCCACGCTAATCGGAGGTGCGGGCGAAGGACACCAAAACTACGCCATTTGACCAGAGGCCAGATGGCGGGGTACTGTTTATGGCAGATCTTGGAGGTTGTCGCATGTTGCCTGTGCTGCAGCTGGCAGGCGGTAGAGCGTTGGCGAGGTGGGGTGGTGGCACATCTTGTGCAATTATACGATGACCATCGCACCTCAAACACGTAATACGTCTGGAAAGTTGTACGGTCGTGAGGTGGATTGATGTGTTCCGTGTTATTTTACTTCCCTATAGCTCACCTTTCTGGAGTTCTTTGAGGCTCTGGCAGTATGTGCCGAGGTGAGCGTGCCGGAAAGGTCGGATGGCCGAACTGCTGTGGAGCCCTGCGCCGAGGCAAACTTGGCTCACAGCTGCAGTGGTGCACGTGCGAGATGGAGCCAGAGGGAATCGGATCCACAGCAGCGATGGGGCCGGTGGAAACTCGAAGAGCCGCAAATGGCTCTGCCAGTGGACAAGAGTCAAGAGTCCACTACGCAAGAATTCACGACGCAAGAGTCATCACAGGCTACAACCCGAGAGTGGAGTCCCACGAATCGTTGTGCGTAAAGTAATTTCACACCCTTTGATTAGCACGGTTGGCTACGTATGGTGCGAAAGAAGTTCAACATACATACACACACGAAGCTCTTTCCAAACATTTTTACGTGCACTTTTTTTTATTCTGGAAAATTGCCCGATGATGCTGGATGTAATTACCAGCGAAACGTCGTGCTCAAATTTTTTTTAATGTTGTGGATTCACTCTTCAACACGCTGGTCGGCTAAAGTAGTGAACTATTCGTCTTTTGTAAACGTGACACATTTTTTACTGATTGGCCGTGTCGGGTGGTGAAGGGTTGCGACACATTTATAAATAACGCGATCTAACCCAAAAACCTTTATAATGAATATTGGTCGCGAAAGCCTACGTGTTAAACTGAATATTCGTTTCGATTTAAAGCTTTCGTGACTGCAGGGATTCATCTTCTTGGTTCTTTCGGTAAAGTCACGTAGAAGGGAAGAAATAAAATAATAAAAATAAAACATAATAAAACAATTCTCACGACGTTTCGGCCACAACGCAAGCAGCCGTCCTCAGGTGAAAACCAGGTCCGTCGAGGCGACAGAGTCTGAATGAAACAGCACACGGGCTTGGAGCATATATATAAGCTGGGCGCATTGTCAATGCGCCCAGCTTATATATATGCTCCAAGCCCGTATATGCTCCAAGCCCGTGTGCTGTTTCATTCAGACTCTGTCGCCTCGACGGACCTGGTTTTCACCTGAGGACGGCTGCTTGCGTTGTGGCCGAAACGTCGTGAGAATTGTTTTATTATGTTTTATTTTTATTATTTTATTACTTCCCTTCTACGTGACTTTACCGAAAGAACCAAGAAGATGAATATTCGTTGTATTGTACTTCTATGCGCCCTGCCTTCACCAGCACTGACCAAATTGTAGGGACAGATAACCGCCACTACCTGTACTGTGTAGGCAGGCCCTAATCTAGCAGTGGATTGAGAAAGGGCTGGAGGTTAGTGATATTTACATTCATATGTCGTAAATGGTATACAAACGTCCGATTAAAATGATTTGAATCGCAGAATGTAATTCATGTTTGTTTTGCAGATGATGATAATACTGTGATTGAAGATGCCTGGAAAAACCAGCTGTCCGCGTTTTTTGTGGAGAAACTGTTTGGAGCATTTGAACGTAACGAGGCCCTGAAGGCTGCGGCCAAAAAGGAGCAAGACCAGGAGGCTGATCGTGCTTACAATGAAAACATCAAGGTCCGGCAGGCATGGTACGTGCACACAGAGGCACGTGCAACGAGGTGGTAAGGTGGCTCAAGGGGTCACAGCTATCACATGTTCACTACCTCGCCTGGTATGCAGGTTGTGGGTTGCATCCCGACACCGACATCTGTATATTTGAAGTTTGCATGTTCTCCCCGTGGTCGCGTGGAATTTCCCCCCGGATCCTCATTTAGAACGACGCGTTTGGAGTATTCAACTGCTGTACATTTCCACGTGATAAGCCACTTTGTTGAGCTATCATTTGCGGCCAGGTCGCTTCTGGACAAACGAGCGATATAGCTCAGTGGGCCTTACCTGGTAAATAAAAAATATAAAGTTTTTTTACTGCTGAGGTCCTGGGTTCAAATCCAGGCAGCTGCCTGTGAATAAACCCAGTGCTCAAGTCGTGTATGTTAATGGTCTCAACCTAGTCATCAATTACTACACGAAAAAAATAATTACTTCATTTGGTTACATTTTGCCTCTGACAATTATATCAGTTTGACCATCGTGTAATGAACCTGATTCTTATATGCAGGGCGAGTATAAAGTACTGCCCTCGACTGCGTGTGGACCAGACGTTCCCCGAAGGGATCTCAGACGTAGTTCTGTCATGTTCGTTTCTGTGGGCCGTTCTCTAACGTGAAGCGTCGTACTGCTCAGAGCAAAAGATCAGAGTGAAATTCTTCATCTCGGGACGTGATGCCGATAGCACAAGCTGGATATAACGGGGGAGGATTACAAAAGATGTAAAATGTGTTGATTTGAAGCTTTCGTGACTGCAAGGATTCATACTTTGTTTTTTTCGGTAAAGTCACGTAGGTAAAAAATCTAAAAAATGATTTAGTTTTTTTCATTTATTTTATTAGATTTTTTTTTATCTACGTGACTTTACCGAAAAAAACAAAGAGTATAAATACATGTTATTTCATTGGTTTGTTCCAATAGATGTATTTAAAGAGCAACATCTATTTATTTATTTAGGTCAAACCTAATGCGGATGTGAAATGTAGTTCTCATGATGGATAGAGGTCATCATCGGCCCTGATCAATGAATGCACTGCTGGATGAATGTCTCCCAAAATCTGCTACCCCCTCTCACAATCTTGCGATGCCTCCATATTTTATTTAGTTGCTTCTGGTTTTAATCGTTTATCTATTTTTATTAATCGTTTATATTTGTTTTTCCCCGCGAACACCTCACGGGTCCCCTGTCTGAATGTACTAGGGAGCAGCGAATGGCTCTGGAGATGGAGGCAATGCACGCTGTGGAACGAGACGGACTAAACGAACAGGGAGCAACTCTCCCGTGGGAAGATGGGGCAATGGTGCGGCCCGATGAACCTCCCAGCAAGGAGCAAGAGAGACCCGCCAACTCCCCAGCTGTTACAAAGTCGACGTCTGCGGTGAAAGTTGCTCTCAACTCGAAGCCACATTCCGCCAAGGACAAGAAGAAAAAGAAGTGACCACATTCGTAGTGCCTTTGATGTATTCTTAATAATGTTTATTTTAAACAGCCTTTATTAAGAAACGTCTCAAGAATATTTTCACAAGGGTCTTGCATAGGAATGTTCGGCAGAAATGTGTTGACCTTTTTTTTTTTCATGTGTTAAGAAATTGGCATTCTGAGAATCCCTATGCATGTAAGGAAACAATGGATACAAGTCAACCAAGGCAGGTTTATAAGACCCACTTGCTATTCTGCTGTCTGCAAACCACCTCAGACGAGCTTGTGAAGGAGTTTCAACACTCAAAATAAGCGATTCAGCAAAAAGTTAAACTACGGTCCAGTCGATTCATGATTTAGTTGACAATTTTATACAAAGGCTTTCAAGACCAATGTTAAGATTCACAACACGCCACAGCCACAGCTGAGCTTCTGGTTGTAATCTCCAGCGAAACAGCGTATACGATTTGTCAAATTATTGTTTGCTTTTCAATGTTCCGGTTTGCTGAAGAACAAATTCACTTGGCACATTTAACCACGTGCTCTGTCGGGTGGTGGGGGGTTATATTTAATCTGAAATTATACCTACATGATCTGACTGAGAAATAAACGAATTATGAATCGTTTGTTTAGATACATTTTTGCTTATGGCGAACTGAATTCAGGATTGATTTTGAAATGTTTTTGTTGTAACATATTTTGCATGAAAAATACTCACTGGAATAAGAACCACATAATGACTTAAAAGTCTCAAATATCCAAAAAGTGTAAAGCACAAGGACGTACACAGTAACCACAACTCGCTGCACCCTCTGTACATCGTGCAGGATTATAGCTCCATGGCATCTGAAGACGTTGAACCTTTGCCTTCATCGTCTGTGGATAACAGAGCAAGTTACAGATAAAAAAATGTTGTCTTCCAAAACCAAAACAATAGCAGCACTGTTAAATGCGGTGGATGTCAACAACTCGGTAAAATAGAATAGTACCTGTCAAATAAGATGGTACAAATATGCGTAGTTAAATCTTTTTTACATGGTTAATAACATCTTTCCAATGATTGCAAACAAACATGCTCTGATCATATACGCATTGTCCTTGAAATTGATTGGCCTTCTTTAGGGCCTAGTCTCACGAGTGTCAGACAGTACAAGGACAATGCACTATCAGAGCATTTCCTTACAAAAGGTTTATTTTTGGTGTTTGAACATCTTAACACCCGTTTTATTGCCAGAAAGGGGTAAAATCTATTCTTATTTTTACGATGCTTTTATGTTTGAAATAATAATGAAAGCTCTTAAGTTACACTTGCATTGTACAGGACGTGCATTGTCCCGGGGCTCGTTGATCCAGGGACTCTTGCAGCGAGGGCACACGCGAGACCGATTCCTCTTGAAGAACTTGGCAGAGCACGGAGCGTGGACCTTCACGCTACAGTTGGAACAGACTTGGCCCTGCAGTTCAGATGGCAAGGGTGGAAGCGGAGGGCAACATCAACAATGTAAATTCTGTCTGTACGTCTGTCTGTCTACAAACTGAGAAATGTGCACGGCTGTAAGAAGAGCCAACCGTTCAATGGTGCCAGCTCGGGGTGCGGAGGTCAATGTATGCCAGCACTTCCATCTCCACACAAGCTATCTCCATTATTTAAACTCACTACTCTAGGGGACGTCTGCCAAAAACGTTACCGAGGTGCAGCGTGTACTCTGGTCATCCTCGCAGCAGCGGCTTCTGGTTGGTTGGCCATCGAACAAAGACGGTCACTGCATCGCGCGCTTTCTGATGCGCTTCTGCGGCCGTCTGGAATGCTCTTCCTTCCGATATTAGGAAACCACTGGAGCTATGCACTTTTACATCTAGATTGAAAACCAATCACTTGAAAACCGCTTTGTGCTTAGCTTGTTGTCCTTTCCCCGCACCTCCGATTAGCGCAGTTGGCGACGCACAGTACTATTAAAACCATTTCTTTTTCACAAGCGATTTTTAAATAAACTAGCACAACAGACGGTCACATTACAGGGTTACGCTGGAAAGATATGCATACACAGGCCTGCGTAAAACACCCAGACCCACCTTCAGAGCGATTTTGTGACAAAGGTAGCAGATTTCAACATTGCCGAAGCGGCTACGAATGAAAGGATCCATTTCAATGAGGCAGCGTGGACTTAAACTTAAATATCCATTTTCCTGCAACAAAAATGCACACACAGTTCTGGGTTACACAATTGCATGCTGAAAATAATTGTTAAAAAGCGTTGTCAGTAGTAAGCGTTGCTTAAACCTCTCCCTTCCGATGACGTATGTAGCCAACCGTGCTAACTGGAAGTGCGGAATGCTAATCAGAGGTGCAGGAAACTCTATACAACTGCATTTACAAACTATTATTTAATACTTTTAAATAAATATTTATTTACGGTACAAATTATTATAATCAATGTTTATTTGTGTTATTATAATTTTAATATATTTAATAGCTTATTTATGCATTTTATTGAGGGTTAATCACGATCATTATCTGCAATTTTTTTGTATTCACGAGCATCTCCGAGGCATATCCCTCACGAATAACAAAAGGCATTCTTTACAAGTCATGAGACTGACAAGAGATGGTCGTAATACCTACCTCTCTGTATCTCCGCTGGGGGCTCTTGTAATCAATGTGATCAAGTGTGGGAAGCAGGAGTGGAGCGGTTGGCGCCCTGCACTACAAACCCGGTGCCACAAGTTAAATTCCTGCTCACGGCCACCACCAGTGACGATTATTATCTGAACCTATCCTGGGGCTCCCCCTAGGTCGACTCAGCCTCAGATGAGTACCTGCTGCGATGCGTAAACATCGCCACTGCGGAGACAAAGGCGGCCAGGCATGGTGCAGGCCACCCAGTCCCTCGTGTGCCGTGCCGGCCTTCATAGGTGCTACTCGCTAACAGCACTTGCTCCTACAGTCTGTTACGGCTACACGGTGGTGGGGGGGGGGGGGTCTTTGTTTGTGATGGCTCTGAGACAGGGGTTACCATGCATAGCCACTTGTCTTGCACCAGGCGCTGCAGCAGCAACTCGGCATTGTCCTTCTTCATCTTCTTGCACTGCAGCTGGTCAACCAGGTTCAGGATGTCCATAGAGGAGGCCATACCCACTCCGCTGTCGACTATTAGCTCCATCTGCTCGCACGTTGCGTAAACACAGAACAACGAAGAGCACCTGTGTATTCATAATCAACGTTTTTGGGTTTAGATCGCTTTATTTATAAATGTGTCGTAACCCTCCACCACCCGACACGGCCAATCAGTAAAAAAGTGTCACGTTGACAAAAGACAAATTAGTTCACTGCTTTAGCCCACCGGTGTGTTGAAGCGCGAAACCACAACATTTACAATTTGTAAATGTTGTGGTTTACAAATTGTAAATGTTGTGGTTTCGCGCTTCAACACACCGGTGGGCTAAAGCAGTGAACTAATTTGTCTTTTGTCAACGTGACACTTTTTTACTGATTGGCCGTGTCGGGTGGTGGAGGGTTACGACACATGTATAAATAAAGCGATCTAAACCCAAAAACGTTGATTATGAATAATATTGGTCGCGAAAGCCTACGTGTTAAAGCACCTGTGTAGCTTGTGTAGTGACACCTGGCCCAACATTAGTGCCTTTGTCGTTTATATTATAACAATTAGCACTGCCCGCACATTTGCACGGGATGTAACTCAAGTGAACTGTAAGTGACATGGATTTCTTGTGATTTGTTTCCCAATGACACTCGCTGGCCTACTTTCAATTAACAACAATATTACATTAATAACACAACCATGGAGAGACTTGCTCACACTCCAGGAATGTGAAATTGCCACTGCTCGTCCACGGCAGCCAGCAGAGGTGGAAACCATCCAACCAGCACTTGCTGGAACAAGATGATACTGCCGTCTGGTCCACAACCCTGTGAGCAAGCTGTGAAGGGGATAACCGTGCAAGTATGATGCTGGAACTTAATATTCTACCACCACCACACTCACTGTTTTGTTGAAGAGTTCAAGCTCAACCTCTGAGTAATCAGAAGCCAAGAGAGTGATTTCATTTTGTTCGATATTAATCTGAGAAAGGAAGACAGGCACAGCAACGTTGTTACGCTGTTGTGTTCAACGTATGTTCAGTCGCGCACATAACTAAACATGCATGAAAATCAAGACAATACACATTTTCAAGTAAAAGTAGGATATCAGGAAAATTCGAATCAGTCCGTTTTTTTCCGGGTAAGGCCCACAGCGGGATTTGTGGTTGCACTCGCATACACAGTCTGTTCTCCTATAACGCGGTAGTAGTTACGTCCCCGAAGAACACCGTGTTATGGAAAAATCACGTTAGAATAAATCATGTATAATATAGGGTAAGGCACAGTCCGCGATAACATGTGAGATGCGTACGCAGGCTGAACAAAGACTGAGGCACGTGGATAGCATCGAGAATAATCCCGCTTGTTCCTACTCGTGAGATGTCGTTCTGTTCACTCGATCGCATTATATCCAAGTCACATCCGCATTATAAAATAAAGTGTTCCCTAATACATTAATCGGGTTATATTCAACTCACATTATGACAACACGCGGTGTTATAGGAGAACAGGCTGTATTTGATACCACGGCTCGGACATTAAAAACAATTCAATCCAAAAGACAGATTCCCTCTTTTACACCCCTCTTAAGGGGTGGCTCTCGGTATAAAAAAGTTTGCCTTGAAAAAACTGTTAACTATTTGTATTTTACCAGGTAAGGGGCCATCCATTTAGTACGTACGCAAAAATTTGTCAAAACTTGACCCCTCCCTCCCTCCCTGTACGCGCGCATACTTTTTACACCCCCCCCCCCCCACCTGCGTATGTACGCTTGACGCAACCCCCCCCCCCCCCACCGAATCCTATAGAACGGCCGATATTTAATCCATGCAGAAACGATCAAGGATTAATAATATTCACGTGTTTTAGCAAACAGATAGTCCACCACCGGACTATCCAACTCATTTGAAGGCCACTGTAGACAAATTATTATCGAGGCTTCAACACCCCCCGTCTCCTATGCGTATGTACATTGTCAGTAGACCCCCCATACGCAAGCGTACACAATTGGGTTAAACCCCCCTACCTCTTCCATGCGTACGTACTAAATGGATGGCCCCTAAGGCCCACTGAGCTATTTCGCGCTTTTTCAGAAGTGACCTGGCCACAAATGACAGCTCAACGAAGTGGCTTATCACGTGGACATTTATAGCAGCTAAACACTCTAAACGCACGGCGATTCTAAATGTGGAGGGAATAAACGGAGGGTCTGGAAAAAAATACACGTGACCACGGGGAGAGAGACACGAAAAAATCCAAATATACAGCAGGCGTCATGGTCGGGATCGCACCCACGAACTCCTGTATACCAGGCGAGGTAATAAATGTCTGGCCACTGTGGCACCCAAAAAGGCCAAGCTCTTCCAACAGCAGTGTCTGCAGGTGACTCACCAAGGCGTAGTGCGTTTTCCCATCCTCCTCGGAGGTTCCCTTTTGGATAACCATGAAGAAGGGCTGGATGTGGTTGTTGATAACGCCAATAAATGCATCCAGCTGGTCATGTGCATAATGTTCTGCGAAAAAAAGACACGCATTTCGGGAAGCATTCAGTTGCATAAAGTATAAGAACATGGAAAGAAAAAAACACCAATGTGAAATATTTATCATTAAAGTTCGATGTCATTATTTGTTCCCACTGGGTTCGACGCTTTACATAAATGACACATTTGCTCCATACATGTGCTAAACACAGAGACCATGTTCTCACCATAGACCTCCCAATTGACAACAAAGAAAATTGCCCTTCAATAAAACAACTCTAAAATCAGAAGTGCCCGACAGCATCCGTTGATTTAACCATCTTGGCTGCCAAGTGTTCAGAGCCACCGAAAACAAACAGCCCTCATCTTGTAGAACCATACATAGGCTGTGTTTCATGCTGCCCAATAAGACTTAAGAGATTGTTCTTGAGAAGGAAAAAAATACCTTAAAGTTATGGTCAACCTATGGGTTAATAAATTGTAAAAAAAACAGCCGCTTGAGAACATCTAAGTGCAGGGTAATCGTAGACAATTTCTTGGAACCAAAAAGTTTGTGGACGGAGTCTAGAAGAACCTTGGCTGGCTTACAGACATATGCCACCACCGCCGCCCAGCTAAAAAAAATCTTGGAACTGAATAGTAGAAGATAAAGCGTCCAACAAGTTATTGAGTTTGGCCCTCACCTTTAAACAGGCGGCAGCATTCATTGTGCACTTTGACAGAGCTGGCAATGTCCAGGCACCCGTGCGCCATCATTTTTTGAAGGAACAAGCGGTGGCTGGAACTCATTCGTCCTTGCGCTTCCATGACGCTCAAGCTCCTTCCTGCCGGGCAACACATTTTTTCAGACAATGGGAGAAAGCTAATTTAATTAAACGCAGAAATTAAAACGCTAATCACGTATTCACCAGGGCTGGTATCATCCTGGGTTTAACCCAAGCTGGGTCGTGCACGGTACTGCTAGATCTGGACACAGTCCCATCGGTGAGCTACTTGGGCAGGCGAGGCTGCGTTGGCTGGGGTCACGTAGCCCGCATGCCAAAGCAGCTTCTGATCGGCCGGATAGATGGGGCTAAACGTGCACGGAAAGTGATACGAAAGGATCTAGAGCTGAGTGGACTTGCCGATGACTGGTACCAGCGGTGGTCAACATCGGCCTCTGTGTAGGAGGCTCGTGAAGGACGCTGCTGCTTCTGCTGCTGGGCAGTCGGAGGCAGTCGTCCTCCAGCAACAACGGAGGTCAGAGGGCATGCAGCAATCAACGTTTTTGGGTTAGATCGCGTTATTTATAAATGTGTCGTAACCCTCCACCACCCGACACGGCCAATCAGCAACAAAAAAGTGTCACGTTGACGAAAGACAAATAGTTCACTGCTTTAGCCCACCGGTGTGTTGAAGCGTGAAACCACAACATTTACAATATTTGAGTACGACGTTTCGCTGGTAATTGCATCCAGCATCATCGGGCAATTCGCCAGAATGGTGTCGGGTGGTGGAGGGTTACGACACATTTATAAATAACGCGATCTAACCCAAAAACGTTGATTATGAATTATATTGGTCGCGAAAGCCTGCTACGTGTTAAACTGGCATGCAGCAAGTTGGCACTGTGGGGGGTACAGCTGGTGCATCTGCCGGTCATCTCAGTCAAGTCAACCCATGGCACCCACGGGGTCTGTCCCATAACCTCCTGCAAAGCAGCGACCCTTGGACACACCACGTGGCCTAACGGTGCACCTAGCCTGGCACAAGCGCCGTGGTGATGGCACCTGTGTGCCTTACAAACATTGCCAGGCTTACGAGTGTCGGTCGTTGTTGTTGTTATCAGGCTGCGAGTGGCCGCTGGAATGAAAGGCCGCGCTCGTGTACACTGTAACTGTATATTCTAAAGTAACAAATATAAACATAAAGGCCGCCTTGAGCGAGAGGCGACGAAACGAAGACGAAACAGCGCGACCGATTTGCCACGTGCCCGAGTGGTTGTGGTCACGTGCCTGAGTGGTGGTCACGTGCCCGAGCGGTGGTGGTGGTCACGTGCCCGAGTGGTGGTGGTCACGTGCCCGAGCGGTTGTCACGTGCCCGAGTGGTGGCGGTGGCCACGTGCCCGAGCGGTGGTCGAACTCTCTTGGCGCAGTCCGATGGTCGTCGAACTCTGAGCGGCTGTTGCTGTCGTCAGATCAGAGGGTTTCCCCCCCACCCCGCCATTCACTTCCGTTTCTTCGCAGACACACACAGCGTGCCTGCTCTCACATTCTGTCGTGCGCGGGTGTTTGGTTGTGACATAATGTCTGTGGCGAAATGGGATTTGTCAAGTTTGGCGGTGTGGAGATGAAATAGGAATGTGGCACAAAACAGAGGAATGGATTTGAAAATTTACTATCCACCCCCTGTGACAACCATGACAGTGGTTTGACCCAATTCAGAAATACCCCCCCGTGAAAGGCATGACAATGGTATGACCTGAATTGCGTTATTGGTTACGTGGACCAGACTGGCTTGAGATGTAGTTCAAACAAAGATCCACCCTTAACGCGAACATCATTCTCATGGACATTTATGCCATCCGCTTTGCCGATATCCCGTGGGGAATTGGAAACGGGAGAAATCGTGGCCTACGCAATTTATATTCTTGACTCTACAAACAAAAAAATGCCCAAAAATGATCACCAATTATAAGTTTATTCACAAAGCAGAGAACCATCAAATCATGCTATAGAATTAATGACGGTACAAATGTGAACGGAACAATATATAGGAGGATGTGGCCAATGTTATGTTATTGTTCCATGTAACAGTTTATGTTTGATATATTCGTACCCTAACACTAAATTGTGCTGTATTTCAGAATTATGGATGAAAATATAATTTCATATAAACAAATTTGAAAGCCAAATCTTCCAGCTTAAGATATTTGAATTCCACATCAACCGGTTTAAATAAAATGGGGTTAGCTATAATTTGGCTAACAACAAAAACATCTGAGTGAAATGACCGATTAAAAGTATGCCACTGAATGACTATGAAATACTGCTACATTTACCTTTCTACCGCAAAATACAACCTTGACAAACACGTGCAAAGCAAAAGCCAACACATTTTGAAATATCAATTTGAACCGTTAATGCAATTTCGCTGGTGTATTTCTACATGGTAAAAACTGCAGATGCATGGTTTTATACTCTGTATCGATACTGCATCATTAAAGCGGTGGTGCAATGCTAGGATTTACAAATTCTGGCTTTAACAATACGTATATAAAATTGAATATGAAAACCTACATTTATAGAGTTTGCTGATTTCTTAAATGATTTCCTGAAGTGCACCAATTAGTCCTAGCTTGCGTTTGTAATCGTTTTGGTGTTGATTTGTTATGAGTGCTGCTGATAACGGAACTGATGAGTGGAATGGGGAAGGCTGCAAAATACAAAATGTTAAGTGACTTTCGTTAAATCATTTTCTACAAGTGGTGTGGTAGGTTAGTGAGGCCTTTGCTTGAGGCCTTTATCCAGGAAGAGATTCACCATAGCCAATAATGATGAAGTGGTGCTGAACACATTCTGTGCACAAATAATGAGAATACGGTAGTTGACATTAGCAGCACAATCAAGATGGGCACCAGGAAAAAACATTTTGCAACTGTATATGGAAGAGAACACAAGTGAAATCCTTGCACATTAATGCACCAACCTCTCTACTTATTATGGTAACAAAATACAGTTGTTCCAGGTTAACCAACATGCATTTCTCACTTTGTCTAAGAGTATATTACCTACCATATACTTATCAATAAATGGGAGAAATACAGTCGGTGTCTACAAGTGCAACGACCATGACTGAATAAAAAAAACATCCAAGTTTTATTCTGTGCTCATATGCCCAGCGCGATAAATATCAACTAAACCTATTTTGAAACACAATGCAATCATCTGCCACAGGCACAAATTGGAAGTCCACGCTGAGACATCTGAGCAATCAGCTGGAGCCCCAGTCGATCGAGGCTGCTCTGCTCGGTGTCGCCTTCACACGTTCTCCTTGAACATCTTTATCTTCGAGTCAAGCCAGATGGGTGGGTCTATGTTCCTGCAATGAAAAGCCATTACCTTACATCGTCAGTTACGGCAACCACGAGGGGTGCCTGAAAAGGCTAGGCATGGAAGAAGTGGTGGTTGAAGGGTGCATGTTCAGTTGAAAGTTATATTTTAAGAATATACACATTGTATATGAATATAAAACATTTCTAGGCGTTTGAAATTATATTGACTTGTCCTAAGCAGTACCTAAAGTACAGTACTTAATATTTACCGCATGTTTTTACAACAAGTTCTAGTTGCTTGAGTTACAAAAGAGAAATAAGTTAAGAGAAATGCTCATCATTGTATATGCAAATATGTCTAACATGTAAATGTTCAAACATGAATGAGATAATTACGTTATGGGTTTTTTTGTTCATACACATACAATGTTTAGATGGAAAAATACACGCATACCATACCTAAACATACAATATTGTGTAAAGTTGTCCATATTATATACAGGGGTATCAATTGTGGCATAAAATTGTTCTGTGATGTTTCGACCTACATTGTAATCTTATACAATGAAATCAACGAATACTGAGAACGACTCTGGCTATTAACTCCAGACCACGCAGCATATTTATGCTGCGTGGTCTGGGTGGGGAGGGGCTGGGTGGGGAAGGTGGGGAGGGGCTGGGTGGGGAGGGGCTGGGTGGGGAGGGTGGGGGGTGAGGCTGGGAGGGGCTGGTCACCCCGTGGTGCCCTTATAAAACTCAACGTTTAACCTACTCACGCCGGCTTGTGCCCGCCCTCACAGTCGGGCATATTTGCGGAATACACCACGCCGCCGTTGACCCTGGCCATTGACCGAGCAACCCAACGTTCCTACCAGCTCCCTCCGCAGCAATGTGTTTAAATGCCATCCGTGTATAAGCAGAGTGAACACCTGTCACAGACGACACTCCAGAAGTAGGTGCTGAACCAACGAGCAGTGTCCTTGTTGGGCTGACACCGATGGGTTATGATGCGGTGAGGCACGGGCAGCAGCCCCACCATGCTTCCCTGCTTCAGATAACGAAGAATCTGTGTTTCATCCTCCAGCCCCCTAACGCGTAGATGTCGATCCACGTGTACAGGTGCACGGTCACACGTACAAAAAAAATACAGTGGCACACACACGGACAAGTTACACGCCACGAATCGTAAAAAAATATTAGTCATGGCTTCCAGAGTATTTTGTTCAACTAAACTATTTTATTATTTTACCAGTTAAGGCCCACTGAGCTATAAATCTCTTTTTCAGAAGTGGCCTGACCACAAATTATAGTCCAATTAAGTGGCTTATCACGTTGAAATTTAAAGCACGATTGTGTTTATTTCATTTAATATATGTTTGTGGTAATTGTTTAAAGTACCATCTCGTGAAACGAAAACTGAAATGCGCTGCTGAAGATGTTAAGGGCGTACAGAGTGTGTGTGACCGTGAGGCTCGTGGCGCTCCGATGTGTGGTTCTTTCATATTTCTCCCATAATCGCTCTGTGCCAGTTTTGATTATTTAATATTGCTCTAAATTTCTTTAAAACTATCCCCAACTCTGCCTTTCGTAATTTTCTCTCTTGTTCTATCTTTATGTCTATGCTTTTATTATCTCTCTATCGTTCCCCTTTCTTATTCCAATATAGAGTAAAACCTTGATTGCGAGTAACTTTGTCTGCGAGTGTTTTGCAAGACGAGAAAATGTTTTAAATAAATATTAATTTGATAAACGAGCGAGGTCTTGCAATACGAGTAGTACGTATACGCTTTGTCTGCCGAGCATCACGTGATCACAACTGATATACGAGTGCTTTGATATACGAGTGCTTTGGATTACAAACACGTTTCTGAAACGAATTATGCTCGCAATCCAAGGTTTTACTGTAGTGGCAGCTTTACTGTAGTTCCCTTCACCCATTTCTCTTGTTTTATGTTCCTTATTTGTTTCGCTACCTTTTTCTGTCACGATCTCTGCCCGGTTTAAATTTCAAACAACATGCGACAATGCATAATAACACGCAGCCTTTGTGCATATGGAAAAAAAGTGCATTCTGGTCCCATTGTCTTTGGTCACCATCAAAATAAATATGAGCAAATGTAGCATACGGAGAGTAGCAGTGATACTCAACTTTGGATCGGTTTCATCCTTGTTTTTCGGTTTATTATTCACCACAACCACAAGTGAGCATAAGCTGTGTTAATAAATGAGACCACCTGTACGTATGAAATGTGTACTGTGCGCAAGTTCAACGTACATGTGCGTGCTTCTCATCTTACCTCTTAAGGCACAGCATTTTCACTTGAGGGACCAACACATGCAGCAACTTCATTATCGTGTTCAGAGGCAATTTGGATTTCCACGAAGACACCTGTTTAAATAACACCGCATTAAATGTTTTAATACGTTCATATAATACGTATTTTAAACGTCAAATGTCCTAGTTATTGACAGATTATACGTAAAATATATTACATTTTACGAATAAATTGTGATTTTCTAAACAGCTGTTGCACAAGGGAATATAGTGTCAATCATCGTGGTGGTGGTGGAAGAGCAGATAGGACATGCAAGTTTTGTTTATAATAGGTCAAATTTTTTTTTACGTGTTTATACTGTAAACAGCACATTAAGTGAATTTCACTGTTGTCAATGCACTCTGATTTTTTTCATTTATTGTACTTGTGTATTGTTTTATGATAACTTGTAAAAGAAGAATGCAATCAGGTATTTATTTGTACAATTTAAACGTTAATGTTGGTACATTGAGTTCATCGTTTACATTTCATTGCGAAGTAAAAACAATAAAAAAAGAACTTAACATTTTATCATGCGGCTATCAATTGAGTGGGACGTAACGTAAACTGTCAGCCCACGCAAGGGGTAGATGAATGGCATTAGAGGATTTTACTGGTAGGAACCTCCTGGTTACACCAGTGTATTGTGTCCGTCCGTCCGTCATGCAGGCAGGGACTGGGTGGGGAGGGAGGGACTGGGTGGGGAGGGGTGGGTGGGGAGGGGCTGGGTGGGGAGGGTGGGGCTGGGTGGGGAGGGTGGGGAGGGGCTGGGTGGGGAGGGGCGGGGAGGGGCTGGGTGGGGAGGGTGGAGCTGGGTGGGGGGTGGGAGGGAGGGGTGGGGCTGGGTGGTGAAACATCCACGCGACCACGGGAACAACACGAAAACTCCAAATATACGGGCATTAAGGAATGGATGTCGGTTGAACAGCTGAATTCATGCAAACTGGTGTCCACTTGGCAAATTCATTTATTTTCAATTTATAGCTCAAATTTAAGACAATCTCAACAAGAAAACTCAACCATTTTTTTCTTATTTTATCAGGTAAGGCCCACTTAGTTATATAACTCTCTTTCAGAAGTGACTTGGCCACAAATGATAGCTCAACGAAGTGGATTATCATCTGGTAATGTATAGCAGCCAAATAATCTTAAACGTACGTTGATTCTAAATGTGGAGGGAAAAACCAGAGGACCTGGAGAAAAATCCACGCGACCACAAGAAGAACATGCAAACGCCAAATATACAAGCGCCAGGGTCGGGATCGAACCCACGACATCCTTCATACCAGGCGAGGTAGTTAACATCTCGCCACAAGACATCTGGACCACCCTGTACATGTAACTGACGCTTAGTTATAGAATGCATCCATATCCACGTAACCTATAGGAACCCAAAATAAAATTTGTATGCATGGAAATTTTACACTTTTATTAATGTTGCCTTTATTGGCTGGGGTACGTACCCACTTGGGCGTGGGTTTCCAGGATGTGCTCTCGAGGCAGTCGGGAGTCCCACTAAATTTGCTCTCCTGCAGGGTGCAATATGACACACGTTTATAAAGTCAGTCTCCCTATTTTAAAAGCATTTCCGGCCTTCGGCCAGGAAAGTCACAAAATTTGCACACGAACGACGCATTCCCGCAAGCACCCGATGCTCCGTTCTGTAGCCGTGTGGTGTGAACCGTTGCGTGGGCCAATCGTTAAGTCTGTTACTAAATAACAATGTTTCTAGTTTTGGATAGCGTCGTTCCCCCACACCTCCGGTGAGCACGGTTGGCTACGTACGGCTCGAAAGAAGTTCAACGTTCATACGTGCAAATTGCACCTCGTAATCGCTGAGGTCCTGCAGACAAGCTGGAAGGTAGCCAGCCAGTGAGCTGGAGTCAACAATTTCCCGAGCTCTGCCGTTCTCTATATATCATGTTTTCAGCCAATTAATGTTTATGCGTGGGAGAAAACTCGACCACCTGATGAAAACCCACGCGTGTGTGGGGGGCAGCACTCCCATAAAGAGGGAATGATATTAATCTGCACTTTTATATACCGTCTTCTCCTGGCAAGCCACGTTATGGCACCTCGACGCTGGGGAAGGAAGTTGAGTAACATTTGTGCGATGCACCAACCCTCCCTCGCCTCCACAGTGTGCCAACCCCCGCCGCTTGATTTCACTATCGACGCTTTTGGGCTCAATTGACAATTGAACCAAATTTACAATTGAGCCCGAAAGCGATTTCATCGATAATAGATGAATGGTCTTAGTAAAAAAAATCCACGTTTCTATGGTGGCAGCTACTATCTGTATGTTGAACTTCTTTCGCACCATACGTCGCCAACCTTGCTAGTCGTACGTGCAGGGGAAGGACAACAAACTAAACACACTGTTGACTTCCAACAAAGTTTGTTTTAAGGAGTATGGCATGAATTGACCCCCAACACACACATCACCGCTTATTGAACAATGATTCTGTATAGAATTTAACTTTTTAAAGCATTACATTTAACCCAAACAAGTCTGCTTCGCATTGGGAAGGACGCACACAAACACCCACCTCTGTGGCCCCATCACCTGGGCCACTGATCTCTGATCTTGCACCTTCACACAATTCCAGACAAATCAGCGTCCAGTTTGAAAACTGTGACGGAAGGTTACAGTACACCGCTATTGTTGAGCATCACACCGATTCTATAGACTTCCACCGACCTGTATTCACGACTGATATTGGACCTCTGAAACAGTGTTGCTTCATTTCACAGACATGCTTCACTCCACAGATATGCTAGAATGTATCATGATTATTTAGCAATGCAATTTGTTTAAAGAGGCTCTCTTGAGCAGCAAGTATCCTGCATTGACATTGTTTGGCCAGTTCCTTTATTGAGTGTTTGGCATGTGGGAGAAGTCAACAACCGGTACAAGTTCGGCACCTTGAACTGTTCTGAGCCTTGTTCCAAGTTGTCCGTGAAAGATGGGTTGCAGTGCCTCTGGAGAATCAATCACGCTCATAGACGGCTGTTTGTCCTATCAATGAACAAACATTCCCATCAAAACCAAGTGCCACTGCTCTATATTTTATACATGTACATCATCATCACCATCCATGGGCAGATAGCCCGTAGGTTCCCACTGCACATTTCCTGTCTTGTGCCAATATGCTCAAGTCGTGCCACATCTTTCTGCCACCAATTTCTTATCGTCGTCGGCAAGCTATTCCCTTCCTCTCTTTCCGATTCCTTCCATTTTTCTGAACGACACACTTTTAATTTTCCTGTAATTGTCCATCTTACATACGTGTCCAAATAGTGCCAGTTTCCTTCTCATCACTGCCGACATCAACAGGTCTGCTTCTATGTGCAACCTTTTTCTTATACGTACATAAAACTCAAACTCAATAAATATTGTAACGAAGAGAGCCTAACAGCAACTGGACTCGCAACCTATACACAAAGTAGTTACATTATGCATGCGGAATGTGCAAGTACGTGTTTATTTTTTTCACTTAAGGTTTTTACAATGGTTAAAAGCACAGGTGAGCTGCACAGAGCAAGCATTACAGGTCACGAGTGAGCACAGTCCTTACTAGAGCTTATACTTCAAATACCAATCCATTCAAAGGTGGGAAAATCTCACAAAATCATTGTCTGTAAGTGTATTGTTATCACATCTTAAATGCCATTCTACATTTATCCAACAAATTATCGACGAGTCTCCAGTAAATTACCCTCTTTGTGTACGTTTTGTCACCATTATTAAGTACATATAATGTTTTGCTTCACAATTTGTGAAATAGCTTTACATCTTGACCCCTTGGTTCCTTTAAATATACATACACACTGCAGATCGATTCATATTAAGAGCGTTGAACTGCACTCCAGTATAGTTCACAACAGACACACCCTCAATTGAGCTTGCAAGTGAGTTGATTCCTCCTCTTACCCCACGAGGAGCTTCAGTCTTTCTCGTGGTTTTCTCAATGAAGTCTTTGTCCACAGGTAGGTTGGCGAGGTGGTTGAAGACGGACCTCTTGCACAGCATTGCATACACAAGGTGGCAATTGCCTGCAATAAACCACAACATGACAATTAAGTAATCATCGTTACCTTATGTTAGCAAGTGTTAAAGCATCACATAATGCCACTTATTTCCATCTGCAGCCACTCACCATTAAACTGGTATTGTATGACATTGTTGAAAACCTCCAGGAGCAAGAGAAGAAGCTTGGGGTTGTGTGGTGAAGAGAAAAGGAAATGCGGTGAAGAGAAAACCTCCAGCAACTGCACAAGTTTGGTGGCAGAGACCATGGACGTGCTTTTCAGAAAGGGGGACACTAAAGACACACACATTCCACACAATGCACACAGATTAGGAATGACATTACCACTTCTCAACCATTCATAACATGGAAAAATGCAGTTGCGGGAATCAATAATAAACTAAACTAAAAACAATTGATCTATTTAACCAGGTAAGGCTCACTGAGAGAAAATAGCTCTTTTTAGAAGCGACCTGGCCACAAATGATAATTCAACGAAGTGGCTTATAATGCGGAAATTTATAGCAGCCAAATACTCTGAACGCATATTTCTAAATGTGGAGAGAAAACCCGTAGGACCCGGAGACAAATCTACGTGACTACGGCGAGAAGATTCAAACCCCAAATATGCAGGTGTCAGGGTCGGAATAAAATCCACGACGTCCTGCATACCAGGCGAGGTGGGTAACATCGTGTCACCACAGTGCCCATAAAACTGCACTTCTAGCACAGATGTGTAATGTCAAAGGGTCCCAATTCATGTTGGTGAATGCCACTTTCTGTCCCATTTTTTCTAGAAACGTACCAATGTCGCCATCACCAACAATTGAGAAAGTGTCCCCTTCGTCAATGTGTTTTACTTCAATGAATGCAGTCAATAAAGCTGTGACCCAATTGCTGAGAATTCTCAAGCACGGCTCTCCTAAAAAAACAGTCTTAACGATTCCCAAAGAACTGTTCTGTATGATAATTGTTTAAACAATCATGCATTTAGCATAATGGGGAAGTATCTGCCTTTTTTAGTTGTACTGTACTGCATTAGCCACCCCGCAACCCTTGACCAGAGCCCCTTTTAGTCACCACGTAATCATGTTGCCCTTCTCCCACAAATACAAACAAAACATATATGAGCATGGTTACCTACCATTAGCAACAATGGTCATGAGGCAGTCAAACAGATTCTGCAACTTCTGTTGGCTTCTTGTAATCATTTGGTGAAACACCTGTGCAGAAACCATGTGCATCACAGTTAACATTATCTTCAACACACGAGAAAGAATGCTAAAATAAACACATTCCTGCGGAGGGAGCTGGTAGGAACATTGGGTTGCTCGGTCAATGGCCAGAGTCAACGGCGGCGTGGTGTATTCCGCAAATATGCCCGACTGTGAGGGTGGGCACAAGCCGGCGTGAGTAGGTTAAACGTTGGGTTTTATAAGGGCACCACGGGGTGACCAGCCCCTCCCCACCCAGCCCCACCCCTCCCACACCCCACCCAGCCCCATCCTCCCCACCCAGCCCCTCCCTGCACGATGGACGGACGGACACAATAATCCCCTGTGGGCTGGTGTAACCAGGAGGTTCCTACCAGTATTAGTGTCACGTCAGTGTCGTATCAAGAGGCATGTTGGTAAATGGTGTGCTGGTGTTTTTAGGTTGTGAATTGGCTGCTTATTGCCTCGCCCAATAGATATGTCGTCTATCTTGGGGCACTTCACATGTTTACATTACATTTCTAAGTATACTAGATTTGTGACTTTACCAAAAGAACCAAAGAGTAATTCCTGCAGTCACGAAAGCTCCAAATTAAATCATGTGGTTTGGTCTCCACGCATAATCCTCCTGCACTGGGTGGAAACTCACAATGATGAGGAGGTCGGCGTGTGTGCCGTTGAACACCCGGATGCCCAAGGGCACACGGATGGACAATGAATTGTTGAGATGAATCCCAAAGTTCCTTTCTCCGCTCAGCATGAGCAGAATAAACACGCCGATGGAGAGTAGCCCCATTTGAGCTGTCAGTGTACAAACAAAGGCAAAGATAAATATTCCCCATATAGTCTTAACAGACTGTTGCGGAAAGTGCTGTTAGCGAGCACCTAATGAAGGCCGGCATGGCACACCAGGGGGTGGGTGGCCAGCATCACGCCCGGCTGGCTTTGTCTCTCAAGTGGCGATGTTTAGATACTGCACCAGGTACTCATTTGAGGCTGAGTTGACCTAGCGGACGCCCAGGATTGGTTCAGATATTTGTCACTGATGTTGGTCGTGAGCGGGATATTGAACTCGTATCGCCAGGTTCGTAGCACAGTGTGCCAACCACTACACTACCGCTCACCCCCAGTGTATAAACACAATACCATACACCGTCGTAGCATCACAACAACAAACAAGATCCACATATTACAGTGGGACTCCTCTTATCCACGGCTCCTTTATCCGCAACTATGTGGGCCATTATCTGTGGGCCTTGGTAATATCCATGTAAGCCCACACTGCAATAAGACATTTTAATAATGTAGACGCATTGTAACATTTCCCGTTAGTGATTTCATTAACATTTTCATTCCTCATTTGGGCACTTTGATTGTATGTTTGTATTTTGTATGACGATTATCATGATGAGTGATAGAGCAGGATTCCGTAAAATAAGCACATTTTAAACTTAGCATAAGTAGCCAATGATTGGATCGAGGAGGTTATGACATCCGCCACTTTCAGTATATAAGCTCGTGACTTACAATCATCATCCCTTGCATCATTCAGGTAATAAAGGATGGGAACAACAATTCCCAGCATGTCATTTGTCTTCAAAACAAAGGACAAGAAATTCTACAACAAGAACAAAACCAAAATAACGTTTTAATTTGATTACATGTTAAACATATCAATACATCTCTAAAAAGTTATTTCATTTTATCGTCCAAATCACAAAGTAGTGTAATGCAAAAGTGGTACTAATTCAAGAATGAAGAGGTTGACTTTTTAGCATTTGTTCCAAGTTTTAAGCACATTATTACGTTCATAAAAAAAAATGCGGTTTAATATTGTTAAATTCAAACAGGTAGGAACATATTTATTCAGTTGCACTCAAGTGCACACTTTTCTTGTAACTATTCTGCCATGAGAGTTCATTGGTGTAAACATTAAACGAACCTTTCAGTGGCACGAAGGAACTTAAATAGACAAAGGCCTTCGCTTCAATCTTATACTGACTGTATTGAATTAGCGGGTTCTTGCCTTGTTTTGTTGACAAAGGATCCAGAATAATACGAGCAGCTCCTGATGGAAGTGAACGCGCTTCGTGGAGTACGGCAGGTAGGTCTGCTGCAGAGGGTTGTTGAGCAGACGGACCAGGCCACTCAGGATGAATTGAAAGTCCTAATTAGTCCAAGATAAAAATCGGGATTTTTCTTTTATATCACAAAATGTTTCTTTTGATACAATTCCACGAGAGTTTATTTCCCCCCTTTGCTGATATAATTATTCATCGCAAAAATGTGAACACAAAGAAATAGATTCATAGGCAAAAGTCTGCATCTCAACATATCATTTGTCATCGAACAAAGACGGTCACCGCATCGAGCGCTTTCAGATGCGCTTCTGCGACCGTCTGGAACGCTCTTCCTTCAGATATTAGAAAATCACTGGAGCTATGCGCTTTGAAATCTCGATTGCAAACCCATTTCTTTAGAACTGCTTTTTGTGTTTAGTTTGTTGTTGTTCCCCCGCACTTCCGATTAGCACGGTTGGCTACGTACGGTGCGAAAGAAGTTCAACATACATTCAAAAAATGAAATAGTTTTAATTCATCAGCCTATGGGTCACCAGGACCAATGTTCCACAGCAACAATGATGTTATCCATGATCCTCCATGATGATACGTAATAATTTTTTCTACTAATCTTTTGTGTACGTGTACTGATATCTCCATTACCAACTTTGGTGCAAATCATCACAGCTGCATGTTTCAGTTATATTGAAAACATTTACAAATACTGGAAACAGCTACTCTCTCTCTCTACTGACAATACATGGTGACTTCCTGAGGTGGTAAAACAATATCAATAGTGTAATAATTTATGTATTTGGCAAATTAAATGACAGTACTGAACAGTAATGTGAAAATGCACCCACTTGAATTACAAAATTCACATTTATTGACCAGAATAAGAAATTGACAGCATTAAGTTCCATCCTTTAAGGTGATACTGAAAAGTAAACAAATGGGTTCAGCTCTTTTAAACTTATTGCATATTCCTCTTCTCCAACACATGACATACTAACCATCTCTAACCTCCTTTTCTCCTGGCCGCATGTCTTAGTTCTTACGCTAGTTTCCTTCACCACTTCCATTCTGCTCTTCATTTTCTATCCCGTCACCAAACATTCCTTCCACTCTTCCTGGTACCTTTTATTTTTTCCAAAGTATAGCATTACCTTCTACAACCCCCACAAAACGCTCTCACCTCATCAGTATGAATCTTGGAGAGGTAAGTCACGAAGAGATTGCTGCAGTTCAAATGCTGTAAGACACGAAAATAATGTTGGAATGACAAGGGTACACAATTGTGAAGCTTTCTAATGCTGTTTTTCCTTGATGTAGCAGCTAGTATTAGTTTTAATGTGTTTTATTTCAAATGTATTTTTTAATCTGTAGAGAGAAACACGTACAGTATTTGGGTTATTTTAAATGTAAAATGACTCATCTCATCCTATTGGCCTCTTATCCCAGAGCGTTCAATTGATGCCCATGTCACACCGTAGGTGTGAAGTGTGATAAGATGAAGGATCTTAGAATGACGGGTCAATGTATCCTGGATTTGGAGGCTACATTTGCCTTTTATATCAATTATATAATTAAAATATTATTCAAATTAATGAGACTCAATGAGGTGAACCTCTACACAGATGCGTTCGTGAACCTACTTGCAGTAACTGATGTCTCCTGACAACCTTGCCACCCAACAGGTTTAATAATCACACAACAGTATGTGACCTACAAACTAAATTTCAAGAGCGCTGGCATAATGGTGTGTGCTACCATTGTACTATACATGAACTAGGGTTGTTCAAAGTCAATCAGTAACCCGGTAACCATTTTCAGAATGAATAACGAGTTCTGAAAGCTGAGAACCGGCATTTCGATTCATGAATGCACCGATTAGCACAGGTGAATGTAAAAACCACATGGCGGCCTGAGTTATATTTGCCCACGTTTCTCAGCTCAAAGGTAAATGTGAAATCTTGCCCTTGCTTGCTTGTCCACGCCACTGCTGACAGGAAGAGCCTCCACTAGAGGGACCTCTATGGGGAAATTTAGTGTCTTCTGAAATGTTTAGCAGACGCCTTGGAAATAGTTCAACATACCCACACTGGGTGCTCAGAGGCGAGGGAATTAATAAGCTTTCCACATTAATTCAACTGCCCCCCCCCCCCCCCCAGGAGATGGAATCTAAGTATCTATCTAACCTTTACACAATGACAGCTCCCTTAGTTTGTTGATAGACGTTTGTGTGTGTGGCAAACCGGTGACCGGTTTTTTTTTTTACCATGCGATTACCCGTGATACTATTTTTTTTAACAACCCCTATATAATCCCATATCCACAAGCACAGAGACATGGCTCCTTATATAACAGGTGAGAGTAACGTGGTACCTGTTGTGTCCGTGACAGCTGTGGGTTCTCACTGTCACCGATGGAGAAGCCAAAGAGGGGAGAGCCAGGAAGGGAATGTTCCCCGTCCAATGCGGCAATCAGCACCTGGCAGGCCACCTCAACGAGTGGCTCACGGTGGTCGCGCACCAGCAGGTAATTGTACGGCACCCCGTAGCCCACAGGGTCGTAGGCAAACACCACATTCAAGAGAGACGTGAACAAGGCCAGGGTGTGCCTGTGAACGCATGAACGTAAAGAGGAAACAGTGGAGCTGAATTTATTACTCAAGAAAGAAAAGAACATGTCTTCTTGGTTCTTTCGGTAAAGTCACGTAGAAGGGAAATAATAAAATAATAAAAATAAATCATAATAAAATAATTCTCACGACGTTTTGGTCACAATGCAAGCAGCCGTCCTCACCTGCAAGCAGCCGTCCTCACCTGAGGACGGCTGCTTGCGTTGTGGCCGAAACGTCGTGAGAATTATTTTATTATGTTTTACTTCTATTATTTTATTATTTCCCTTCTACGTGACTTTACCGAAAGAACCAAGAAGATGAATCCCTGCAGACACGACAGCTTTAAATCGAAAAAGAACATGTATTGGGATTTGATTAATTCTGAGAAACAAATCTGGTAAGACAAGGGAAGAATACGCACAAAAGCAATATGTTAACTAAATTAATGATACAGCAGCACAATAAGCTCAATTATCACACGGTAACCTCATCAACTCTTAAGGAACTTCAGTTATTTACCTGACTACAAATTATATTTACTATGATCACTCCTCAAATGGACAAACACCTGCCTGTTCTCCTTTGAGCAGAACAATTTCACCCAGGAATTGCAGCTCCGCGGGTCATTTTCAGATTGGTATATCACCTCGGAGAAGCAGGTCAAAAGCAGATTTAGAATTTCCAATCTGTCCATACAAAAGGAATAAAGAACATCTGCAAATTCGATATCACGGGTATTTAATAAAGTTAAAAACATATCAAAACTAACCCTTCGGAATTTTCTATACAGCCAAGAGACACAGATGCAAGCATAATTCAAATTGATACCATAATGAGAACGCAAAGTCATCTTGGATCTCATGCAAGAGTCATGGATTTTCACAAACAAATGATATATATTGTATCTAAACATTGTTATTCTAGCACTACACCAGCATATACCATGTGATTCTCTGTATACTCTACATACGTAACAAAATCCAACAATAATATTAGATTCAAATATTTGCATTACCTTAAAGACACACAGTGATACTCCTCTTATCCATGGTTAAGTTACCAATTACTCATTAGCCCTGGGTCAGCTTCAAGCTCGGGTCAAATATTGGCATGAAAATGTTGCCCCACAATTCCATCACTGCCATGTGATTTGTGTGATGGCTAACACCTGGATATAAAATTACGTAATCAGGTATAACATTAAAAATTACTTCATAAAAGCATGCAGGTGTGCCGACACACCTGCAATTCTGGGCTAAAATTCAGGCAGCTTGCCTGTCAAGAAAACACGTTTTCTCGTGTAGATTAGAGTGTCGTATAAATTATTAAAATGACAAAGGGAAAACAAAATTTACTCACCTGTTCGTGTCGTGCACATAGCTCTGTGGTGGAGAGATATTGACTCCCACGCCTGCTTCCCAGATGAACTCACAGCTGTCAAGTGGCCAAGTATCCTCCGGTGTGTCCTGCCACACAATAACCAAACGCCCTTCGAAGCTCTAGCTTGACTAAATATGAGGTTAGCTTGACTAACATAAAACTATATACATTTATTTTATTTTATCGTGTAAGGCCACGATACAGCTCTTTTTTAGAAGCGAGCTGACCACAAATGTTAACTCAACAAAGTGGCTTATTATGTGGAAATTAATAGCAAATATTCTAAATGCATGTTTTGGAGAAAAATTCACGTGACCACGGGGAGAGAGACACGCAAACTCCAAATATACAAATGGCGACAGGGTCGGGATCAAACTCATAACCTCCTGTATACCAGGCAAGGTAGTTAACATCTCGCCACCATGGCACCCTATAATTAAGCTCCGATTATAATTATATAACCATCTGGCCTGCATATATTAAGTTTCTTTCGTCAAAATGGTCAATTAAATCAAACAAAATCTCCAAAAATATATTTTTAAACGTCATAATTTCTCTAACATTTTTTTAGATTTATGCACAACACAACTACGAATGCAGTGAATGGTGACGAGTCTTTTTCAGCGCCATTACGGGGCCGGGCTGCCTGTGCGGTGTCACGGTGAAGCCCGGACAGAAGAGCAGTTCAGCGATGGCAAGCAGCAGGGCCTCAGCCAATGGGGGCGTGACTTTGCTCGTGTCTTCCTCCACCTGCATTTGTCAGACAATGCATTCAGCCATAAAGGATAGCACACATTAATAACACTGGTCAACAAAAAAAACATTTTTTTTCTGGCCTGGACTTTTGCAGCTGTTTTAGACTAATTTCAGGGTGCTGATTCCAAATCTGATCTCAGATTTGCTCTATCACATCTCATTTTTATGCTATCGGCATACCCCATTTTCATTGATTTTACCCGAAATTAACTCTGTCACTTATGATTGCAAGTTGTTGCGAGTCAGTGACAGCTTTAGTGTTAAAATATGGTGCTGTATTTTTAGGATAGTGTGTTTATAAAATATGGTGCTGTATTTTTAGGATAGTGTGTTTATAATATCATTTTATTTAGATATCCACATTTATTTAATATTTTTCTTCTGCAGTTTTTATTAAAAATGTAATATTTGATATCTCAAAAACCTGATGTGATAGACAAAAACTGATGCCAGATTTGGAATCAGCACCCCAAAATTACCTTAAACCCGTTGGAATACCTTATGCCAGAAAAAGTGTGTTAACCGCTGTAATTGGAGACTGCACATAGCCCAATTGAGGTTTACTTGATTATTTCCTGCCCTGAATCGACTTCCCCACCAGCCGTAATTGACAACAGGGATTCATATTCTTGGTTCTTTCGGTAAAGTCACGTAGAAGGGAAATAATAAAATAATAAAAATATAAAACAATAAAAATTCTCACGACGTTTCGACTGCAACACAAGCAATCATCATCAGGTGTGAAATCCACTTTTTTCAAAATTTCTTGCTGTGGATTTCACACCTGATGATTATTGCTTGTGTTGCAGTCGAAACGTCGTGAACATTTTTATTGTTTAATATGTTTATAATTTTATTATTTCCCTTATACGTGACTTTACCGAAAGAACCAAGAATATGAATCCCTGCAGTCACGAAAGCTTTAAATAAAAATGTAACAGGCATTCCATCAATTTATTTGCACCAGTGCACTTAAGGCAAGTGGGGCATAATTGCATTTGTGCAGCAACCCAAAATTTAGGTTTATACCAATGAAGCAGTGGATTGCAGCTGTAACCTTTGATGTAACCCAAATTAAATGCCACACAATGCCAGTCAAGTAGTATAGAGTAACAATGTTAAGGATAAATCAGTTACATAAAGAACAGGCCTCATATACAGAGTCATGTCTAAAAATATAGTAACAAATTTTTTTTCAGAATCTTTGCTATCACAGCTTGTACCTAACCATATTGTCTAACTTACTGGCACTGCCATTTAACTGAAACCCGTTGTACAATTACAATGAAAAAACAACCCCGCCAATTTAAATCTGTTTTAGTTTTGTAAAATATTGTTTTCACACTCTAATGAGCATAGGCAGCCCTTACTGTATCTCCAGTTTAAAGCCCTAAGCCAGTGGTGGATGCTGCACATAAACAGTGGTGTCAGGGAATGCGTCAATATGCTTAACACTTTTACATTTCCTAACAAAGTGTCACGCTATGTAATGGCAGTGATCTCAGCCCATCATGACCCAGTTGGCGATAAACTAGTCGGGCCATCAGGCTTTATTTCATCGCTGCTATGGGCGATGGATACTTGAGACCCCCCAAATAGATTCCTGGTTCATCTGTGGAGGTCTGCCACTGGTCTCAGATGTATTACAGAAACCTCTCTTTGAGTATCTTGCATCTTTTTCCCCGTTGCATTTGGCATCCACTGATCAATAAATGAATCGAAAAAATACCGTAATAATGGAAAAAAATTCCGCACCTCCGATTAGCACGGTTAGCTATGTACGGTGCGAAAGAAGTTCAACATACGTACGTACAATAAAACACAACTTAAATTTACGTTGTGGTGAGTAGGTGCATGGGCCCAGAAGAAATCCTTCCACTGTGCATCCTCGAACACAAACGGCAGGAGCCTTGTCAGCAGGCGGATGCAGCTCAACACCACCACTGGTTCCTGATCGTCCGTGCAGCCAGACTCTGCAGCCACTCGCAGTTTCTCCACAGCCTGTTCCACACAAATCCAAGGGTTCATCTTCGTAGAATGATAATAGAATGGGTGTTACGAATGTTGGAAGAAAATTCCTGATTTAAATTGACTCCACCAAGATGGAGCGATCCGAAAAGCTAACATGGGCTTCAGTTAGCATGTAAATAGCACCTTTACCAGGGGCAACTCGTTATTTTTTAAAGCCATCACCCACAAGAGTTGACCACTGACTTGCATAGTGTCATTGCAGCAATATCCACAATTGAAGCACATATCAAATGCAAATCCAATTTATTTCCTAACACAACAAAGAATAATCTATGGCATCAACTTTGGGGGAGACTATCATGCGGCATTAGATTGTCACTTTAAGATGTTTTCTTGTTCATGTTTTTGGTTTTCTGTTTGTTGCGGTTGCACCCGATTCAAGAGCCCGAATGGCTCACGGGGGCTACACCAAATAAATGAAACTGAAAAAAAAACTAAAACTGAAAACTGTTCACGGCCGACACCGATTCTGATGGCTTCTTAATTGCAGTTTGCCTTGTGGATGAGCGTGCTGAGGCCTGATGGGAGCTCGTCACGCAGGGCTCGCACGTCGCCCGCAGTCAAAAGGCGGAACGCGTCCTGCGCTGCGGCGTCGCTCTCGCCCAAGAACGGGCTCCAAAATGCCTCGTCGCCCAGCTCTGCCACCTGCGTGCGCCAGGACACAAGAGGACACAGGGCAGTGGGGTGGGAGGGCATCCATTGAGTAGGTACGCACAAATCTGTCAAAACTTGACAGCTACCCCCCCTCTCTCTCCCTGTACGCACGCGGACTTTTAACACCGCCCACCCCCCCGAATCCTATAGAACGGCCGATATTTACGGTAATCCACGCAGAAACGATCAGGGATTAATAATAATATTAACGTGTTCTTATTCTTGGTTCTTTCGGTAAAGTCACGTAGAAGGGAAATAATAAAATAATAAAAATATTAAACTTTAAAAATTCGCACGACGTTTCGACTGCAACACAAGCAATCATCACCAGGTGTGAAATCCACAGCAAGAAATTTAGAAAAAAGTGCTGTGGATTTCACAGCTGATGATGATTGCTTGTGTTGCAGTCGAAACGTCGTGAGAATTTTTATCTTTTTTATTATTTCCCTTCTACGTGACTTTACCGAAAGAACCAAGAATATGAATCCCTGCAGTCACGAAAGCTTTAAATCAATATAAACGCGTTTAAGCAAACATAGTCCACCGCCGGACTATCTAACTAATTTGAAGGCCAATGTAGACAAATTATTTTCTAGGCTTCACCCCCCCCCCCTCCCTGGTTTCATATGTGTACGAACATTATCAGTAGACCCCCAATACACAAGCGTACACAATTGAGTTGACCCTCATCCATGTGTACGTATTAAATGGATTAAGTTTCAGTTTCATTAATTAGGTATAGCCCTGTGAGCCATTCGTCTCTTGAATCGGGTGCAACCGCAACAAACAAAAACCAAAAACATGAACAAGAAAACATCTTAAAGTGACTATGTGCAAACAGAAATATCCAAGAAAAAAACTGCAAAGTCTGCATGACCCCGAGGATCGATAACGATCAGCCAGGCAACCGCAAGGCTCAGGTGTTGTTGGTTTATCGGACTTTGAAATTGGGAAAATGTCAAAACTGGGTGGTTTTTAACTTTTGCCGACAAAACTGGATCCCAAATGTCAAAACTGGGTGCACCCTGGGTGGCCAAAAACTTGAGTTTTGGACACTCAGGGTGCACCCAGTTTTGACATTTGTCAAACATTTGGGATCCAGTTTTGTCGGCAAAAGTTAAAAACCACCCAGTTTTGACATTTTCCCCTTCTCGACGCAAACACTATCTACCGTTGTTCTACTGTAGTAGGTGTAGCATGCAAGCTGGCACACTGTACCAGTATACAAATGGCAAGTTCGTGTATGTTCGCGAGCTGAAAGTGTTACTGTAGTTGCAAGCTGGCACACTGTGCCAGTATACATATGGCAAGTAAGTGTTACTGTAGTAGCGAGCTGGCACACTGTGCCAGTATACAAACGGCAAGTAAGCGAGCTGGCACACTGTGCCAGTATGCAAACGGGAAGTTTGTGGTGCAAGGTATGGAACATGAGCCACGAGAAACATCATTTGGAACGCTCTAAATCTGTGGCGACATATGGATGAATAACGCAAGGACCTAAACGTGTACAAAATGATACATTAAATCGTACACCTTCTTCACCCAGTTTTGACATTTGTCCACATTGAACATCACCCAGTTTTGTCATATCAAAAAGCACCACCCTGTTTTGCCTGTCGTTTTCCAAGACCACCCAGTTTTGACATTTGGGATCCAGTTTTGTCGGCAAAAGTTAAAAACCACCCAGTTTTGACATTTTCCCCTTTGAAATTGAAAAGTGATTGTGGAAATATCACCTGAACTATATTTGCATAAACAAAATCACACTTCAGGGAAGCATGGCTCGTAGGCGAGAGGATGGCTCGGGGTGTTGTGTACGCATATTGAACTTATTTGGCACCGTATGTAAAACCAAACGTGTTCACAAGACTCTGGGAAAGAAAAACCCTTCGCTGTTAGCATGGACGCTGCAAGCTGCACCACCTTTATAGCACAACACCGATGTTAATTCTAGATTTGAAGCTTTCGTGACTGCAAGGATTCATACTCTTAGGTTTTTTCGGTAAAGTCACGTAGGTAAAAATCAAAATAATAGAAATAAAAATATTATAAATAATAATATAAATAAAATTATAAAAATAATAGAAATATAATACAAATAATAGAAATAATAATTGAAATATATTTTTTTTACAATTATTATTTATATTATTTTTATTATTTATGTTTACCTACGTGACTTTACCGAAAAAAACCTAAGAGTACCGATGTTAATGATACATGCATTACAATGTACAACGAAGAATGCAATAATGAAAACATAACAAACTGTCAATTTCGATCACGTGTACTGACTATTTGTAATCGACAACGTTACTCCGCTTTGCGTTATCTCCCTCACATGGTCAGATAACCACATTAGCTGGGACACTGCACTTTGCTTCACGTTCCTCACACTGTCAGAATAAAAAACATCAGAATTCGTAGTCATACTGGAGGAATCCGAAGAGCCACAGAGCTCTTTGTCGCAGATGTTCAGTGTAAATATCTCGCAGTGATCATCACATCGCTCGCTATTCGCTTTCGTGGTGCTTACTGGCCCAAAGCGGATATTAGTTTTGGTAAACTCTTTAAATTGGTACACTTCTGGTGAGGTAACGGACGAGCTAAAGACAGCTACGGGTGGTCAATACCACGCCCGGCCGCCTTTGTCTCCCCATTCGCGATGTTTACTAAATACCGCCGCACCGGCTACTCATTCGAGGCTGAGTACGACGTTTCGGGGATGGCCCAGGACCGGTTCAGACACTCGTCACTTGACGTTGTCGGTGGCCGTGAGCGGGAATCGAACTCTGTGGTGGTGTTTGGCAATCGTCACCCAGCACCTGGCGCACGCACGCGGCTGCCCGCACGGCACCGGCCGCCTGCTGCCCTCCGCTCCACGTGACCCCCATGGCGCGTGTGTGACCCCACCCCCCCCACGCGCGTGCGTGACCTCCCCCCCACGCGTGACCCCCCCCCTCCCCCCCCCGCGCGTGACCCCCCCTCCTCCTCCCCCCCCGCGCGTGACCCCCCCCCCCCACGCGACCCCCCCCCCACACCCCCATGGCGCGTGTGACCCCCCACCCCTCCCCCCGCGCGTGACCTCCCTCCACCCCCACGCGCGTGCCCCCCCCCCCTCCTCCCCCCCGCGCGTGACCCCCCTCCTCCTCCCCCCCCGCGCGTGACCCCCCCCCACGCGACCCCCCCCCCACACCCCCATGGCGCCTGTGTGACCCCCCACCCCTCCCCCCCGCGCGTGACTCCCCTCCCCCACACACGTGACCCCCTCCTCCCCCCACGCGTGACCCCTCCAAACCCCTACCCATTGTTGCCAACAAAACAGGTGTTAAGATTTCGATTTAAAGCTCGCGTGACTGCAGGGATTCATATTCTTGGTTCTTTCGGTAAAGTCGCGTAGAAGGATTTCTACACCTGATGATCATGATGATTATTTGAGATTGTTGATGTGTTTTTATGCGAGATTTGTTTTTAAAAATAAAAACTATTCCTAATGGCATCATGGGAATTATCGGACCCCCCTCCTCTGCTACCCACGTGACTTTGGACGCGCCTCCTTCAACGATTCGATTCTCGAAGTGTTGAATGGAGTTTGTGATTTTCTAGATTCTAATCTTTATTTTCGTCTCCTTTATAATGTCCGTTTCTCCTTTCAAAAGGTCAACATCTAATGCAGGAGAACGTCCGTTTCTACGTCGCCGTTGATAAACTTCATTTGCGTAAATGTAACGTTTGATTTGCACACATTAGTATAATAATCGATCCAAAAACGTGTGAATCGTACGCGTGTATTGATTTTACCGGATGGATCCTACTATCGTTTACACGCTTCCCATCTGCCGCTGTACATCTTGTAGAACATCTCCACGAACAGGACAATGCACGTACAATAAATGCGAATCGTTAAAAAAAACCCTCTTGAAAGAATCCCGCGAGAATCGATCTTTGCCCATCTGGAAGGTCCTCGTGAATCGATTCCTGCCGAATCGTTTTTTTCTCTCCTTCCCGCCAATTTCGACGCAGCGCTTTTGACCAATGGGCTTGGCGCTCGCGGGTGACGTCACGCGCTCGCGGGTGGTTAACCCCGGCGGTAACGCGGGGCAACGTCTCTGGTTAACCGCTGGTTAACTAGCGGTTAACCTCTCCCCAGTTAACCAGCGTGAGCGCGGATACACACAGCGGGGAGACGACTCACGCCCGACGAACGACCTCGCTCGCCTCAAACAAATCGTGCGTCTCTTCACACCGCCACCACCAGCACCACGTTGATGATGATGATGGGTGCTGTTTGTTGCTGGCACGCTTGGCGTTATCGACACTGTGTGTGTGTGTGTGTACACAGCTGCCGTCGATTAAACACCGCAACTCACGGGCACGGTAGTGGTCAAGCGACGGGCTCACGAAGTTGACACCAACTTCATAAAATATAAAAAAAACACGCACATAGACACACAGCACACTCCTCTGTGTGTCTCTGTGTGTGTCTTTCTGTGCGTCTCTGTCTGTGTGTCTCTCTCTGTGTGTCTATGTGTGAGTCTCTCTCTGCTTGTGTGTCTCTGTGTTGTCTCTCTCTGTCTGTCTATGTTGTGTGTCTCTCTCTCTCTGTGTGTCTCTCTCTGTGTGTCTCTGTGTTATCCCTCTGTGTGTGTCTCTCTCTGTGTGTCTCTGTGTTATCTCTCTCTGCTTGTGTGTCTGTCTGTGTGTCTATGTTGTGTGTAAAAACATAGGCGGCCGGGGCGTGGTGCTGGCCACCCACCCGATTCGTGTGCCATGCCGGCCTTAATAGGTTCTCGCTAGATTGTTGTTAGCGAGTAGCAACAGTGTGTTGAGGCTATACGGAGGGGGGTAAATATTTGCCTTTGTTTGTGAAGTGATTTGTTCAGAGATGGTCACTGGTCGGTTGGTGTCGGGCTGATCAAAGTCGCAGACGTGGAGCAAGACTGAACCGAACTCCCATCCACGTGTGAGTTGCGATACACCCCCAACACGTGCTTCCACACACACACAGCGTTACATTGTAAACGTTACACACACAGCGTTACATTGTAAACGTTACACACACATGGTTACATTGTAAACATTATACACAGCGTTACATTGTTAACGTTACACATACAGCGTTACATTGTAAACATTATACACAGCGTTACATTGTTAACGTTGCACATACAGGGTCACATTGCACACAGGGTTACATTGTAAACGTTATACACAGTGTTACATTGTAAACATTATACACAGCGTTACATTCTTAACGTTATACTGTACAGTGTTTATAACGCCTTGCGTGTCTCTCTGAGCGGCATACAGTACAAGTGTATGCTCTGTCTCAGTGGACTTGTCTCTGAGAAGGGTCTCAGTGGAGCCTCGGCGAACTTCTCTCAATGCAACCAAAGACAAATGTCAAGGGGAGTCTCTCAGAGGTCTTGCCTAAGACGGACCCAGCCGTTGGTGTAGTGCGTGTGCCCGCGAGATCCTAGCAAAGATTGTTTTTCACCCCATTTTCTGTGCCGTATGCAGGGATCGCCTGGCTGAGTCCACCACCCCCACCCACCCCCTGACATGGCGCTGCTGGAGCTGTCGTCGTCCAGCGAGGACGAGCTGCCCGTAGGCCCCCTCGCGCAGAGGCTGAGGATGCAGGCCCCCATCGCGCGGGCCTTGCCGGGCGGCGCAAAGGACGGGGCGACGAGCATCGATCTCCTCCAGGACGACTCGGACTCTGATGAGGACGTTATGAAGAGAATCAAGGAGAGGTTGGATAAAAAACGGCGGCAGGAGGACTGCGGGGTCGGATGCGGTGGCGGCGGTGGCGGCACTAGAACCGGGCTCACGTTGAGCGAAGACGACGTTGGGGACATTGTTGACGTTGGTGCGGGGAGCTGGACCAAAGTGCGGGAGCCGGGGACGTCACTCGGTCGGAGTGGGCAGCTGCTGCTGGGACCAGTGGCCTTGTCTGTTGGTGAACAAGGCCCCTCAATCTCACTCTCGCATCGAAAGCCAAGGGACGATCAGGGCGTGGAGACAGATATAGACGGACTCACGCGAAAACGCTGCCAAACGGTAACAGGTGAGTACGCAAAAATAATAACTGTAAACACCTCTTTAACATCCAGAAGCATTTATTAACGAGGCCAGCAAGTGGACGATTGGGAAAAGTGTAGAAGAGAAAATGGTTTTGCGTACTTGCACAAAAATGGATAAACAATTGGGACCCGCAACATCTTAGTGGAGTTATTTTGACCTCGCTAGTGACGATACTCTTACAACGCTTGAGAGAGGAGTAGCTGCTGCTTCTCAGTGTCTGAACGGCCACCAACCACCGCAACACTTCAGAGTTGGATAAAAGCACACCTTGATGCCGGTTGTAGGAAGAAGGGAAACTTCTGATATGAGCACACTACTTCGAATATAAGCACAGTTGGATTTGCTTCCCAGGGGTATGCTTATATCCGGTTTCTAGTGTGCTGTAAGATCAGACCTATGAGGCCTGATGTCATCTGCAACAGTTGAGGGATCTAAGCTGCTGCAGATGACCGTCCGTGCCACGCGCGCTTTCAGATGCGTTTCTGTGGCCGCCTGGAATTCTCTTCCAATATTAGAAACCCACTGGAGCTATTTATTTTTATATCTTGATTCAAAACGAATTTCTTTAGAACTGCTTTTTGTGTTTAGTTTGTTGTCCTTCCCCCACACCTCCGATTAGCATGATTGGCCATGTAAGGTGCAAAAGAAGTTTAACATGCACATACATACAGACAGGTGAGAAGTGAGGCAACATCAGTCACTGCCTTGACTTGAACGCTGGATGAGGATGTGACCACTGGGTGTTTCGCTGTGGATGCTCTTGTTGAGATTGTGGAGCCTCTGTCCCATCGTCGAAGCTGCCTCGACGACAGCAGCATCCGCAAGAGAAGAATAAGCAAGAGGAAGAGGCACGGGGAGGCAAGAAGGCTCAGCGGGAGGAGCAGAGCACACGGCGCGCAGAGGCGCAGCAGGAGAAGGAGCGCGAGAGGGCCGGCAAGCAGGCCACCGCCGCCCTCATCAAGGCTCAGCGGCCCGAGGAGTGTATGAAGCACATGGCCGTGTGCGTGGACCCAGGTACCGCACTCTGTTACCCGTCCTGTATTTTCCTCTTATATTTCTCGTGGGACAAATGGTTAACTCGCTGCACCAACGAATCTTGCGACCCGAGTTCAATGTCCCAGTTTACGGCGAGCATTGATTGCGAGTGATACTTGAACTGGTCCTGACGGTCCCCTTCACGAACCCGCACTGACCAGCAGAGTGAAGTATGGTCAAACAACACCCATAACTGACACGGTTTGGGGAGGTCCTCATCCAACAGTGGCTTAGTTAATGGTTGCAAATCCTAATTTTTATTAAAATGAAACTTTTGTTTAAACTATTTTTATTTTACCAGGTAAGACCCACGAGCTATATAGCTCATTTTCAGAAGCGACCCGACCACAAATGATAACTCAACAAAGTGGCTTATCGTGTGGAAATTAATAGTAGCCAAATACTCTAAACGCACGTTCATTCTAAATGTGGAGGGAAAAAACCGGAGGACCTGGAGAAAAATGCACACGACCATTGGGAGAGAGACACGCAAACTCCAAATATACAGCAGCAGGCGTCAGGGTCGGGATCAAACCCACGCCCTGTTTTCAGGCGAGGTAGTTAACATTTCGCCGTCATGGCGCCTTGAGCCACTTGGCCGTTTCATGCATGCAGTTTTATTTCAGAGTGGGTGTGCTGCATTTGTGTAGTATGGATGCGTAATCCGTTGAGCTCGCAATTGACAAAGAACGCGCACGTGTGTGTGTGTGTGCCAGGAGTGCTGGAGGTCGAGGGGGGAGGCTTGGTGCTGTCGGCATTGCAGGCCCTTGAGTCGCGT